CATCAAAGCAGCAAATGCTAAATATACTCTTGCCACAATTTGGTTTGGTTTGGTTTGGTTTTTTTAAACAAACAGTCTCTGCTTCTGAGTCCTGGAAAACCCAGGCTGACTGAGACTTGGAATGGGGGAAAACCCAGACTGGATCCTTCAGGCAGCTCGGGGAATTAGTGAGTAAGATTCCCTGGAGAAATGTTTTTGGGAATGCTGGGGTCCGTCAGTGCTGGTCCCTTTTCAAACATCACCTCCTAATGGCACAGGAGCAGCAATTCCCCAGTGTCAGGAGTCAGGCAGGCGAGGCAGAAGGCGGCTTGGCTGAGCAGGGATCTTCTCTGGGAAATAAGGCAAAAAAGGAAGGTGTGTGCCCGGTGGAAGCACGCAAGTGGAAGTCAAGTGACCCGGGAAGAATTCAGAGATGCTGCTTGCTGCTGCAGGGAGAAAATCCGTGCACTGTGATCCCTGTGCACATCCAAGAATGCTCCTGTTGTGCCCAGTTCAGCTGTTGACTCTCCAGCTGCTCGGATGCCCCCGGGGGCTGTTTGCCATGGGGAGAGGAGCAGCTGGCTGTGCTCTGATGTCTGAGTTTTCCCAAGATACCCATTGTCTGTCTGCAGCACCAGCCTCCACCCTACTTGCTCACTCAGCCGTGTCTGATGTATCTTTAATTAAAGAGGAGGAACAATTTGAGATTTCATTTTCTTTTCTCAACCAAATTTCCTATTTTCGTCAGATTTTGTGATGCCCCCTCCCCTTATTTTCGTCTTGTGGTTTTGCTATAGAGCCTTTAGTTTGTGGTGTGTTGCTCTAATATAAGGAAGAAACAGGAGAAAAACAGCTTGTTTGGGGCGAGGGAATTAAGATCCTGGGTCAGATGGCTGCTACGGTCATTAACATATTTACATTTTTGCTTAAGAGCCTGGTTGAGGATCAGGGGAGTTAAGGATGATTGTCATTGAAATGCGGAGGAAACCTTGCATGAAATTGCCGTTAGCGTCCTATTGTCTGGGGGGACGAGGGGGGGCAAAGGGCCTTCCTCATCCCGGCACGTTGGGATGCACTTGTGTGCCCCGGTGGATGGGCACAGGCAGGAGGGACCGCGCTGGAGGAAAGCTCCGTGTGCCGGTGCTGTGGGAGCCCTGCCCGGGGAGCGCTCCCGGTGGGGCCGGACCCGCTCAGCGCAGCCCCGCTCCTGCCCCAGGCACTGTCTGTCTGTCTGTCTGTCCCCGGGGCAGACAGAGGTGCCGGGCTGGGCCCGGGACAGCGGGCCCTTAACGAGACCTCATGGACAGACACGTGAAACGGCTTGTGAAGGTCAGTGGCCTCTTTTATAACTGATGGACCCGAGGGCTTTGAGTCTGGTGTCTCGTGTTTTGCATAGGTGCAGCCTCACCTTGAGTGCCCACTGCTCACTGGGGCAGTTTTGGGCACCACAAGAGAAAAAAGGCATTAGAGAGTGTCCAAAGGGGGCAACAAGGACGGTGAAGGGTCTGGAGGGGAAGCCTTAGGAGGAGCAGCTCAGGGCACTTGGTATGTTCAGCTTGGAGAAGAGAAGACTGAAGGGGGACCTCATTGCACTCTTCAGCATCCTGCCAAGGGGCAGTGGAGGAGCAGGTACCTCCACTCTTCACTCTCAAAGAAAACGGCATGAAGCTGAGTCGGGGAGGTTTAGGTTGGCTATCAGGAAAACGTTTTTCACTCAGAGGATGGTTGGGCACTGAACAGACTGCCCAGGGCAGTGGGCACAGCACCAGGCCTGTCTGAGTTCAAAAAGCATTTGCACAATGCTCTCAGGCACGTGGTGTGGCTGTTGGGGATGGTCCTGTGCAGAGCCAGGAGCTGGACCCAATGATCCTTGTGGGTCTCTTCCAACTCAGCACATTGGTGATTTGCTGTGTGTGTGGACACAGGATCCACAGGAGCAGCTCAACCCCTTGATTTTTGTGGCCAGCTGATATCAGAAACAGGGTTTGAGGCAGTTTAAAGTGTTGTGGATTTTGAGCTCTGTGGTGAGAGATGAGATTTTTATGTCCTAAAAGAATTGTTATATGGTTAAAAAATTGTTTAAACATAGATAAGAGAACTCCTTTGCAGGTGGGTCTTAGAGTAGAATGTTCTGCTCCAGGTTGTGGAAGCCATGCTCTGGCCCTGCTCTGAGGCCTTTTATTTCGGATGTCAGTTGTTTATTGTTCCCCTCTTACTCTTTCATGCTATTCAGATCCACTGTTTTACTTCAAACCTGTTTATAATTAGTATCATTAACATAATGCCAACAAATAATTATACATAATAATGTGGAAGAGAAGAGCAGGCTCCCTAGGCTGTTTGCACTACTGAAAACACCAGCTGCCTTCTGCCACTGCTTTGGTTTGGGTGGGACAAGCAGCAAGACCTGAGCTGGAGGAGGAATGCTGGGGCCTGCTGGTATGAGAAAGAAGCATCCTTGGAGCAGAGGCTCATCTGTAGCCAGCAAACAGGCTTCACTGTGCCTTTGGAAAGCCAGCAGCCAGTGACAGTGACATCCTGAGTGACAGGGTCTGTCTGCTGTAGCACTAGTGAGTCTGGAGTCATTAGTGTGCCTTTGTGGGCTGGTTTGAAGCTCTGAAGCAGTTGTGTAATTCTTGTTCTTGGTTACAAAATTTTTCTTTTTGGAAGGCTTTAAAGCAGAACAAAGTCTAGGAAAAGTGGTTTGTGATCTGAGCAGCTCTTTTGTGCTCTGGGGACCTGTGTGCTCCAGCTCAGTATCTCCTCTGGCCTTTGAAGGAACAGCCACGTTCCCTGTGGCTGTGGTTTGGTCTTTCCTGCAAAGTCCAGCAGTGAGCACAGGGCACGGAGACAGTCCCACACTTCAGTCACTGACCCTGGCCCTCAAAGTAGAGAGGGATTTAAACCCTCAAGGAGCAAATGGTTTTGTCCTAGACAAGAGAAGTTCTGACACCTTAAATGTTAAGATAAAGTGGTGCAGTTAAATAAGATGTTGGTTAGGTCAGATGTTTGCAGGAAACAAAGAAGCAGTATTTATGGGATTGCAGGTCTTAGATCCATTCACTGAATGACTCATCTCCCAGCTTCTGCAAATTCCCCCTGAGAAAGGTCACCTCAGGTATTATGCTAATGATCCTGTATTTCCTGGGGATGTGTCTCTGGGATTGGGCACTGTAAATTTAGGCTGTCTTGGGAGTCCCAGCAGGAGCCAAAAAGCAACAGAGCTGAGCCTGAGTGCAGAGGCCCTGACTTCTGGGCTTAGTTTAGAGTTTGGTCTGTTAACTCAAAACATCAGAGTAGGCCAGGGTAGGGGAGCTAAACTTCTCCAGGGATTATTATTAAGCCCTTGTTTAACAGTAAACAGCTGATGAAATCCACCTTTGGCTCTGGGTGCCAGCTGTCAGGGAGGTGCATCCAGGACACTTCACAAGGGCAGGACAACCTTTGGCAGAGAGCAGGGGAGAGTGCCCAGCTCTGACTGTGCACAGGTCACTTGGTTTATCTCCCTTTGTGTAATCCCCAGGTTCCTCATAGAGGGGCTGCTGCTTTGCCAAAAGGCAGACAGCCCTACTCCAGCAGGAGCTGTGATCTCCCCTCCTCAGGTCAGACACCTCCTCCTCAGCCCAGCAGAGTGCCCGGGAGCAGCAGCACAAAGGTGCTGGGGCCAGGAGGAGATGGAGCCAGATCCTCACACACGGGCACTGCATCCTCTAAACAAGCTGCCCATGGCTGAGGCTGGTCTGTTTTAGAGCTGTTCTGCTCCCGGTGCCAGCCCTGCTGCTGGCAGGCTACACCCTCTGCCACCTCCTCCTGCCCACCTCCTCCCGTGCCAAGGCAGTGTCTGATCGAGGGCCCGGCGCCTGCTCAGCTTTTGTTCTCCATTAGGAAAGAGCCAGGATTGTCAGGACCTTTTTGGCTCTGCCAAGGCCCTATTATGTCCCAAATGTTTCCATGAAAAGACTCCCTCCTGACCACCCTGCCCCCTGACAGCCATTCAGTCCAGCCAACAAGCTTGATATCATTATCTACAAAAGGAGGCCACTGAGCACCAGGGTCCTCACAGCCAAGTTTGGGAAATCAAAGGCAAATCTCCCAGCAACAGGGAGCTGGTGGAGATCAGACTGCACAGGGCTAGTGAGGGCTGGCCTGGCAGCTTGCAGCAGTTTTCCAAGCACCAAAGAAACGTGCTCGGTGTGGTGCCAGCACTGGCTTTGCCATGGCTGTGCCCTGCAGCCTCTCACAGAGAGCCCTGGAGAGCTCAGCATGGCCGGAGGCTGCTGAACAGCCCTCAGTTTGGACAGCCTTGTAAAGGTGTCTCCCTTCAGTCAGTGGCATTTTTAGGAGATTAACCACTTAGTCTAAGGGAAAACAGTGATGTTTTTGGTCAGAGTGGGAGTCCCTCCAGACCTCACCTGGGACTTTCCTTCTAAGGACTCTGGTTTACATTCTCAAAATGGCATGTGGCTGCCTTGTCATTTTTAGTTTGACATAATGCTCACCTGCTTTGCTCCCTGTCCAAAGACTTTCCCTCCAAAAGACCTTAAAATAGCTCTTCAGCAGTGAAAGCACTTGCCATTGTGATGGCATCTGTAGAGGTGATCTGGAAAGGTGACTGTCAAAAACACTGAGCACAGAAAGGGCTTGAGGAGGGGTGGCATATTCATGTGGTGCAATCGTGTTAGGAAATAGAGGAGTAAAACCATTTTCAGTATGTTTTATCTCACAGGCTGCATCTCTGGTTTGTTTGATAGTCCAGATAGAGAGGGATGTAAAAAACAGGCAGGAGAAATGATGATGCAGAGGGAAGGAAGGTGAAGGGAGTGGACGTAGCTGAAGCTTGGGTGGGGATGGGATGGGATGGGATGGTGGTGTGGACAGTGGTGCCTGTGCTCACCCCTCTCTGCAGGGCAGTGTCACCAAAGCCTGGAGCAGCCCCTGGGGGTCTGCAGCAGGTGATGGATGCACAGGAGGTGTGTGTAACATGGAGTGGTTAACTGTGGCCCTTTCCCCTCCCGTCCCAGTTCGATCCTGACAACACTGGCTACATCAGCACTGAGAAGTTCCGCTCCCTCCTCCAGAGACACGGCTCGGAGCTGGACCCCCACAAGCTGGAGGTGCTGCTGGCCCTGGCTGACAGCAACTCTGAGGGCAGGATCTGCTACCAGGACTTCGTCAACCTGGTGAGTGTGTGGCTGGCAGGGCCTGTCAGCCCCTGCCTCTGCTGCAAACAGGGGCTGTGCAGGGACAGACTCTCTCTCTCTCTTTCCCTCCCTCTATCAACACCAGTGTTTGCTGTGTGCCTGCACCACATTCTGCTTGGACTTGCTGAAACATTCAGTGGTGACTGAACTCTTAAGCTAAGAGCTGAGTTGCTGCTGATTTTTCCAGGGAAACAAACTTGCATGGGAAGGGACTGTGGGAGCTATTGTAAGAAGATCATGAAGCGATGTCTGCTGCTGGTGTAGAGGCTTTTGCTCTCAATATCACTTGTTAGGTGCAACAAGGAGCCATTTGTTTGCAAGCAGACGTCTGTCAGTCTGGATGTCTCCTGTTTTATCTAGAGATTTCACCACTTCCAGACAAAAATGTATAGATAACGTTGTGTTGACGTGCTGGGTGGAATCACATTGCACTGCTCTAGGCATCAACAGCAGCAGGGAGGAATTGTTTCTAGGTCACGTTCATTTTATCCCAGGTGAGACGCCTCAGACTGCATGAGTCATGATCTGGATGCCTCTCTATCTCTACTAATGAGTCAATTAGTGAAGGGATGGCTCCCTTTCTTGTCAAGGCAGTTTGTTGAGTCAACACAAATGTAGACGAGTGTTGTCAGATGTCCAGAATGGCCTAGAAATGTTGTTTGCAAGATGTCTTGAGCAGTGGCCAGTCAGGGGCTTTGCCTTTGCACACCTGAGTCCCAGCAGCTTTAGTGCAGCAGTGAGACAAACCTGGGTGAGACAAAGTCACTGAGCAATGGAAGCTGATGTCCCTAAGGTCTCACTGGAAAGCTGGATGTGTTCTGGATGCAGAGTGTAGTCATTTGCTCTGTGTGTTGCTGCACTCAGCGTGGGGATTTGATCCCTTCCTTTGTCGTGGTCACTCATGCATGTGCTTTGGGTTTAGAAAGAAAGTGTCTTCCGTATGTCCTGACTTCACATCAATCAGAAAAGTATGATTACAGGGCCCAGCATTGAAGGATCCAGGTCACAGCCTCTGTCAGGCCACGGGCATTGTCAAGGTGACAGTGATGCAATCCCAGACCTGCTGTATCTAACCAGGCTGTCTTGGTAGCCCCTTGCCTGGGGACACAGTAGAAGAAATGCAGCAGCTATTAAAGAGATCACAGTGGTGTGAGGTTTTCCTCAGCTCCAGCATAACAAACAGTGTGGTCCACGGTACTCAGCAGTGTATTTAGAGCAACAGCTGCTTGTTCTACAGTTTGGGATATTCAAAGTCCCATGCAGGCATTCACTACTTGGGCTGCACTGCACTTGGGTAGCAGGATGAGATATCATCTCATTTATTTTGCAGAAATGGTGGTCCAGGGCCAGCCAACACACTGGCACCAGGCTCAGGAGCAGAGCTGGGCCTTTTCCTCTCTCCTTGCTCCGCTGGGCTCGGGAGCAGCACGAGCTGATGAGAGGCAGGTGGGAGTGAAATGCTTATACATCCTGCTCCTTTGGGAATAGGGGATCCTGCCAGCTCACACCCACCTGATGGATTTCTGCAAAATGGCAAATTTCCTTCACTGCTATTGAATGACTCCTGTAAAGAAGCCATTGATTTTCCTGTCATCAGCCCCTCCATCCTTGTCTGCATTTTTTTGCACTTTCCAATCAATAAGCAATGCAAATGCCAGAACATTAAACTACTTACAAATGACACCTCACTTCTCCTCTACTTTCTATTGATTCCCAACATTCAAACTTTTTTAGGGCTCCTTCTCTTTTCCCTGCCTTTCGAACTTCCTGATGGAAAGCAACAGCACAGTTGACCCAGAATCCCTGTGTAATTAGGGATTTCCTTCACTTCACAGCTGTCAGTCCTGGAAACTCTGTATGGTGGTGTTTAGGTGCATGTTTGTGCTTGATGATCATCAGCCACCTCTGCTTTTTGCTCAAGTTAATTTGTCTATATCAGTAGCTTAGCAAGAATTGACCTGCTCCCCAAATTGATGGTGCTGGCTGTGAGGAAAGGCTGCTGATTTTACTAAATGCAGAGGTTTTACAAGCACAGCTGTGTATGTGGTTCTCCTTTTCTCCAGCATTGTCATGAGCACCAAGAACTCTGCCTGCTCCCTCAAACACTGTGATCCCCAGCTAAAGGACTGTTATTGAGCAAAGCTCTGTTATCCTCGGATGTCAAAATGCTTTGTGAACTTCTAGATGCACAAAAAATGTTATTATAGGACTCCTGACCTTAATAAGGACGTCCACACATGTGCTTGCTCTCAGCTCAGGCAAACACCTTAAATCTCTGAAATTGGAAGTTTTGCAATATGAGAATAGACCCTGGAAATCACTCTGGAAATAAATTGAGTAATGAATAAATTCAGGGAAGCTGAAGGCTCCTGGTGTGATCTGCAAACAGAAAAGCCTGAAAAAAATCAGATAGGCAACTCATTGGAAATTCCTGCTCCTCTGTATGTATGAAATTCATCTCATGTAGTTGTAAAACACAATGCTGCAATCATACCCATTTCTGTTTCTGCACTGGGACTTGCAAGAACAGCACAAAGCAGCTTCAGATGGGGCTTCTTATCCTGTGTCTGAGACAGTGCAGAATAACAAAGTGTTTCCTGTCCAAGTGGGGGCATCTCGTGCCTCTTTGCTGTCTGGGAGAGAGACACTAAAAATGCACAGAGAACATTCTGGCTGTGAGCAGCACAGGCCACAGGAGGAGACAATGGACCAAGGTGTTTAACCAACTTTGCTGCTTCTAGAGAGGAGACAAACCAGGAGGGAATTACAGCTGAGATGTTATTTGCTGGATCCTTGCTGAACAGCAGTTGCTGTTGGCACTCCTGGACTACTCCACAGAACACCCTGTGAACTGGAATGGAGCTAAAGAAGTCAGCAGTAAGCTCTGAGACAGAGTTCATGTGACTTGGGAAAAAGAAAACACTGCTGCTTCCAACAGAAATGTGGAGCTGTAGCTTTGTAGTAACTTGAAGCTGATGTAGCACCTCAGTAATGCACAAAATGTATTAGCTAATTAAATGTACAGCCTTTGTTTTCCAGATCAAGTGTTACCACCCACTTTGCTTTCCCTGGCCTTGCTGGCTCCTAGGGACAGGCTGATTCTACCTCATTTTCAGTGATCAGCACTCATTTTTGTAGCACTGTGTAACAGTACTCAGGTCACCCTAATCCAAACTGTTCTGGTGGCAGCACACTGTACCCTTCAGAGAAAGATTTCCCTTAGTTTTTGTGATTCCCTCTGACTTGCTCAGTGTGCTGCCAGGCTGCAAATCCTGCCTCTTCAAGTGAAGAAATAAAACTGGAGAGGGCAGCAAGGAATCTGCAGCCTCTGCTCTTCCCCCTCATGAGTGACAGATGAGCAGGTCTGTTGGCCACCAGAGAAGGCGAGAGGAGGATCTTTGCAGGAGTTTCTTACTTCATGGAAGAGGCTGGAACATGATTAGGTGTTAGTGGAAGGGTGTCTTGTGCTACAGGCTGCTGAGCAGGTCTCTTCTGCCTCTTTTTTTTTGAGTAACCACTGCTTGGTCAGACCAAATCAGGATGTTGGTATTTGCTTTTTTCCCAGTTGATACTGTTTGGGAAAGTGCCACCAGGTTGACTCAGAGGATGTGAACATCTGTGACAGATGAACTTGATGCTGAGCTACGAGCTTTGGGAAAAGCCAGCTCTGCCCACATTAGCATTTTGTAGAAGTGAGGAGTGAGGGAAGGAAATAAATGTGAATCTTGAAAGCAAAATTGATTGGAGAGGTTGAATTTGTAAGTGAAGTGGATTATAAAACTGGAGCTGGCAGAGGCTTTTAAAAAGCTTGTGCTAACTTCTGATTTAGTGTTCTGTGTCTTGGAGGATCAGAGCTGAATGCAAGGCCTGTCACAGAGCTGGGTGTGTTTAAAAATAGCTCCAGACCAGCCTCAGAGGTGCAATACGTAATGGGCAGAAATCCAGGTTTTTCAAAACCTCCTGAGTGAGGCTGAAGAAAGCCATGAAAGGGTCCTGTGCCCCACACAAGCTGTGAAACTGGAGATGGGGGAAATGCTGCCTGATTATCTGAGGGAGCCACAGCAGTACAGGTGGCCAAGGAACACAGAGGAGCTGGGCTGCCCGAGGGAATGGACAGCTCCCATTGCAGGCTGCAGATTAGCCCAGCCCCATTCCAGACTTTGCACCTTCCCAAAGTTTGGCGCTGTCCCACATTAGACAGCGAGGACTCATCCTAAGTTTTGATGTTTTCAGTGTTGAAGACAGATTTGGGTCTATGTAGGAAGATATTTTCCTTTTGGAGAGGTACTTTGAGTGGAGCTGGAGCTCTAAGCCTGGCTTTGTTTGGTTATGGTAATGCCAAAGGGCAGAGGTGGCAGCTCCTGGGCACCAGTCAGGTCAGCTTGGCTGTTCTGCAAGGGAAGTTTCTCTCTGCATAATAACATTTTGCAGGCCTGAAGGACTGAGGGAATGTGTTGTTTCCTCACTTCTACCTTCGCTCTCCACACACAGTTTGCTGTGCCCATCTGCTTGCAGCTTTATCATCACACTCATTACAGAAGTCACAGACCAGTTGCATGAAGAGAAGTGGGATGGGCTGCCATGGGCTTCTGGAGCTGCAGTAATGTGCAGGCCAACAATGGGCCCAGTGTTCTTTCAGCTGATGATTAAGTACTTGGCTCATAAATACCAATATTATGTAATTCCAAAATCAAGTCAGCAAATTGTGACCATATGCGAGACTCGGTTTAGGAAGACTTGAGTCTTCCAAAGTCAGTCTGAGGAACAAAACAGGCTTCTGATTAAGAGCTGGTGAGAGCAGCAGTAGTGACTTAATCCTCTTGTCTCTCCTCATGCCCATCTCCTCCTCATTTGGTACCAAGGGATGGGGTTCTGTGAGTAGGGCCAGGACTGTGGTGCTTCCTTGAGCCCTGGCAGTCAGCTCTCATGTCAGCTTCTATGTGGGGTGTGGAAGATCCTGTGGTTTATTTTCCTCTCTGGAAGGAGGAAGGCAGAGCTTTGTGCTGAACAGAAGGGCTTGAAAGCAGTACAGCCTAGTGATCAGATAAATTGTGCAACTTGGATTCTAACTCCAGTTTACAACCTTGGGCAAGTCACTGAGTGTTGGGAGGTCCAGATTCCCACCTCCCCAGGAGAGCCAGAGGCTTTGTTCACCTAAGGTGTGACTTCCACAGCGATCCTGCAGTATTTTGCTCTTAAAGCTAAGAAGACCTTTCCCTCCTGATTTGTTTTTAGTATGTTGAGGAACACCTTCAGAAACACCATGCTGATGAATTTGCAGTGCCCTGGCTGTTGTCTGGGCTCGTCAGCAGGACTGCAGAGAGGTCACTGGGGTGACAGGGCAGTGCTGAGTCCAGGTGACTGAACAGAGCCAGTCCCTTTGTGTCTGCTCAGCAATAACAGAGGGTTCAGCAGTGCCTGTGTTGGATCCTCTGCTCAACAGACACACGGAAATTGTTGTTAAGAGCTCAGCACAGACATGAACATCAGCAGCCTTTGCAGTTCCCTGCCCATCTCTCTTGGCAGTCTCTGTAGGGATGATCTGCTGAGGGTGGTCAGCACTTCTGGATGCTGAACTGCAACAGTGATTTTCCTTTGAAACAATTATATTTTCCACTGAATGCTGCAGCAGGGAAAAGCACTGACTGTTCGGTGGAAGGCAGGAAATCACACATGTCACTGTGATTGGAATAAGCACATCAGCAGCTTCAGTCAACTGTCTGGTATCTTCAGGCCAGTTTATAGTTTCAGTCTGGATTTATTCTTGTCCACAAGAGGAGCAAAGGCAGAGAGAACAGAATGAACTGTGTGAGGGAGCACTCACAGAACAGCTCCCACAGGCTGCTCAGAACTGACCTGCAGTGAAGCTTTCTTCTGCAGACACAGTGAGCTCACCAGGTGGCTAAAGGTACCTTTGAAACCTCTGTTACCTACCAAAAAGCATCTCACACATCTAAGGAAAGCCTTACACTTGGTGGGTGTTTCTCTGTGACAACATTGTCTTTCAATATAAGTGGCCTTTCTTAATGCAACAGAAGGTCACCATCTTCATTTGCCCCTCATCTTCCCCAATTTTAAATAAAAGCTTTTGGGTGATAGACTTGAGAAGACTGGAAGAAAGATCTTTGTGGACCTTCTTTTTTCCTTCTTTGCCTTTTCTGCTTCTTTTGCCAGAAATGTTGTTTTATAACTGTTTTCTGAATGAGCGAAGGAAAGAGAGAGAAAAGGAGAGAGTCATTAGGGTAAACCATCTTCTCACTCAAAGAGAACAGCAACAACAACAAATTTTTCCCAAGTTTTTAAAAAATTAAGAACATCAGTTCCCTGTCAGTGTTCCTATGGGAGGGACAGGCTGCAAACTGAAGCTGAGGAGGGATGGGAAGCTGCTGGGAGAGTGGGTGCAGCATCATCACCTCAGATGGCCCCTGACCTTCCTGCACTGATTAACAGGAGGTGGTTCCCTGCACTGATTACTGTGTTTTAAGCAGCTTGGTCCAGCTTGGAGCAATTCCCCATCTGACTGGGCACTGGGCTTTGCTGGCTTTGGGATATCAGCTGGAACCAGCGTGATCCAAGACAACTGGGAGGCAGTAGTGTGAGTGTCATCTCTTCTTCAGTTCTGGGAGGCTGGAGATGCTGCTGAGAGCATTTAGCAGTTCTCTCAGAAGAAGGACCAGGCTGTCATGTTTGCTTTGCTGCCTGTTTACTGTAAAAGGTCCCTCTGCAGAGGTCTGTGTGCACACTGAGCCTTTGGAGCTTCCTGCCAAAGATTCAGCCAGTACAGACAGTGACTCTAATGCAGGAGGTTTGTTTGACATCAGGGCTAATTAGCAATTATCCAAATCTTGGAGCAAGCTCTTTCAGACCTGGTTTGTTCCCCGCCCCCAGCAGGCTCGGCATAAAATTCCATCTGCCTAATTTGCAAATGCAGTTGCTTTAATTATGCATCCAAATTGGGAAAGTGTGTGCTCAAAAAGATAGACAGCTAAATCTGTGCATGTAAGATGATAATGTATATACCAATTAGCTGTGAGCCTGCTCCATCTCAGAACCTGCCCCCTCTGAGGATGACTTTTAAAAGAAGCCTTGTAAAGACTTCCAGGCTTACAGGAGCTAAGACAGCCTGTACACAGGATTAATTTATTGTTTTGTTGCTGTTGCTTGTGCAGTTTTGTTCTACACAAAGAGATGATTTTCTTTGCCCAGAGCCAACTCCTGCCACAAGGGTTAGAGGTGCTGTGAATGTACCTGCTGCTACACTAGAGAAACTTTCTGCCCCAAGAGATGACAAGTGCAGGGAAGTGAGATTGAGGAGGGATGGAGGACACAGGAATGTGGATCGTGATAACTGATGGTGAAGGCTGGAGAACAGGCCAGGGAGCTCAGCCAGGTGCATCAACAGCCTCTGTTGTGCCCTGACCTCATTTATTGGCATCATCATGGCAGCCCCTGGTACTGGTTTTCCTTGCACCCCACTGATCACCCAGGATCATCCTGAGGCTCAGTTCCTAAAGACCCTGGTGGGGTCCCTCTGCTGCCAAACCGGTGCTGTTCTCTTGGAGTGGTTGTGCCAGGCCTTGCTTTGCCCTCATGGCTTCTTCCTTTTCTTTCTGACCCAGATGAGCAACAAGAGGTCGAACAGTTTCCGCCAGGCCATCCTGCAGGGGAACAGGAGGCTGTGCAGCAAGGCCCTGCTGGAGGAGACGGGGCTGAGCCTCTCGCAGAGGCTGATCCGGCACGTGGCCTACGAGACTCTGCCGCGGGAGATCGACCGCAAGTGGTACTACGACAGCTACACCTGCTGCCCCCCGCCCTGGTTCATGATCACCATCACTATTGTGGAGGCAAGTACCCCAGAAACCTCTGGGAACCCTCCCCACGCTGCCAAAGGCTCTGCTGGGGCACAAACAAGGGTCAGAGTGGGACTCGTTTAGATCCCGGCAAGGACAAACATGAAGCTCGTGGCCACTTTGGTTCCCTGTCGGGGTGTGTTTAAGTAGAACTGTGATCCTGTCATTGAAACAACTTGTGTATGACAGAACTTGGGAAACTACAGCAAAACTTTCTGAGGAGTGAAAACTGGACAGTTCTAAGGAAACTGGTATTTTAATAATGGAATTGGAAGACAAATTTTTGGTATGGCTGCCTCTATTACGTGAACAGAGAGAAAGAGGAGGGGAGAGAAACTGGGTTAAATATTCTGACCTGCTCATCCATTGCCCAGATGAGATCTCAGCATGCTGAGTAATGTGCTGGAGAGAGGAGGATATAACGTGGGCCTGATCAGCAGGGTGCTGAGTTCCTGACTCAGTGGCTGGTGTGTTACAGAAGGCCATATATAGAGTTATCTCAATGTGTTGCAGGTTCCTCAAAACAGAGAACTTTCGTGCTGTCAAATGAGAGAAAAATTATTGTATATGCAACTTATTTCTCAATGATTTTGAGCTACAAAGTGCTTTTCAGTGAGAAAAGGCATTTGCTTACCAAGGAATCTCTCTGCTCTTCTAGGTTGCCTTTTTTCTTTACAATGGAGTGGTATTAGACAGATTTGTGCTGCAAGTCAGCCACCCCTTGTACCTGAAGAATGCACTGCTGTACCATCCCCAGCTCCGTGCTCAGGCTTGGAGGTACCTAACCTACATATTCATGCATGCAGGGTGAGTACTGACAAACTGGAGATTCCCCACAGGCCAGGTTCCCCAGAGAGAGGGAGGAGGAGGAGGAGGAAGTGACAGAATCAGCTCAGAAATAAATTTTTAAAAATCAATTCTAAATTGTGTGTAAAAATCTGGAGCTGTTGTGGAGTGTTGAGCCATGGGGGGCAACCCTTTGCAGCTCTCTGAAGGGAGAAGGCAACACAAGGAACTTCAGAGATGTCGCTCTTCTCCCCAGCAGTGCTGGCACCATCTTGCTGTACACTTCCCAAAACTCACCAGGCCCAAGCCCAGTGTCCCACTAAAGGAGCTGTGCAGGTGGTAGGACAAGTCTGCAAGGATGCTGGACTGGTATTTAAAAACTCCAAGGATGTGTTCTTGCTAGACTGCCTAGCTGGGGTTGGAAAAGTCACTTAGATGTGCCTGTGATATGTCATCACTCAGGAATGTCCCTCCTGCAGGGACTGAGGTAATGCCTGGAAGCCAAGACTGAGCTCCCAGTTGGTCCACACTGTACAAACACCAGTGTTCCCAAAGAGCTGCCAATCCACTGACCACATGGACAGAGAAAGGTCCATCTCATGCAAAATGCAAAAGGTGCACAGTAAAATGACTCCTCCTACATTCATATGCAGCAGACTTGGGAAAAGAATACAAGGCATGGGATCCTAACTCTCTTCTAGCCCTCCCAAAATTCCAACAGACTTAGCTGTGTGATGTTTCTGATGCCATGGTGATGAGTGAGTGCCACAGGAAAGTTCATCCCTGTACAAAACACTCTACCCCCTCAGAGCAGTTTCTCAGATCATTATCTTCACACATTCCTGGCAGATAATTGCAATTTTCTTTAATTCTGTCATTGAAAAAATTACAGCAACAAGCCTTTCAGCAGTAGTTTAGAGTTTGAAACTGCATAAGGACCCTTTGTTCTTAAATAGAAAGCCTTTCCCATCAGTCAATGTTCTTCTATGAAAGATCAAGCTGATCTTTTTCTTTTTCCATGTTTCTGATGGAAGATATGCTGATGTCTCTTCTCTACCATGGAATAACTGCCTTGGGGTGTAATTGCCCTGAAGCACAAAATGTGCCCCAGATCTCTGGATAAAAATCACAGGACAGAACAGATTCCACTCCAGAGTAGGAAAAAGTTTTTAGAAGAAACTTCTGAACGTGGCAAAATCTGTACTGTGTGTGTTGAGTCCCTCCAAGGAATGCACTGGACACAGGTTTCAATGTGCAAGAGGAGACTGCTGGGCTTAGACATGGGGCTGGTTTTGTAACATGAGAAGTGGGAATTTCCATTGCTGAGGATAGGGGGAAAACTGGGCTTGGAAAAGGAAAGAACACTTGATTTTAGCTAATGTTGATTTGTATTTGGGCTTTCTGCTGCTGCTGGTGGTGTTTCACTGCATCACTCACACGACCACAGGTTGCTTTGGGATCTGTTTGCAGAGAAGCACCTGCACAGGGACAGGTTTTGTGTCCTGCTTCCCTCAGCTGTGCCAGGTGACCCTTCCCTGGAGCAGGCAGGACTCTGCCATTGCTCACACTCCCAGGTTTATGTCACACACTCCCAGGTTTATGTCACCCCTGTGGCTGGCCCAGAGTGGAGCAGCAGGGAAGGTGTTGAGCAGAGGACTCCTTGTGCTGATGGATTCCAAATCCTTTAGCTACACAGCCTGAAAAACAATGGAGAGTCCCCCTGGAGCAATAAACCCTGTGATTTATCTGCAGTGTGTGGAGTTAAGCTAAATGTTCCTTTATTGCTGACTTCTGTGTGTGAAGCTCCTTTCTCGGGAGGAAAAACAATAAATCTTGGAAAGGTAATAATGTTTTTAGTGGATGCCCATCATTCTCCTCTCGTTTTCAAACGGGAGGATAACACAATGCCATGGGTCCATTGTTATCCTGCTTCCAGCTGAGACTTTTAAATGGAAATGTGGACTGCTCCTTAATTTAGTGCACTGGGTCTTTTTTTGAAGAGCCAGTGGCAGCCAGAAGGTGTTGGGGAAGGCAGCAGTTGCTAAGGCTTGGCTGGCTGTGCCTCTAGAAAGATTCCAAAAATGTACAGGCTGTGTGTTGGTCCTGGTGGAGGCAGCTTTGTCCAAGGCTGAAAAGGCAAAGTTGTAAATTCTGCCCTTCTGCTTTCATGAAAAGCAGACGTTGATTATCTGAAGCCCACACATTTGTATCACTGCCATAACTAATGACTTGCATTGATGCTCAGTCCCATTTGTTTGGTCCCAGGGAAGGAGAAAGTCTTTAATAAATCAATGAAATTGTCATTTCAAGAATGACACATTCAGCACTGGCAAAGGGTAATTATATTTTATGGGTTCTTATTGACTGTGGAGCCTTCAAAGCTCTTATCATGATGGGGAAGAGAAGTGAATGGGATTGCTCCTGGGAAGTCTTTTAAGAACAGCTGTGAATCAGAGCAGTCTCTTTAGAGTCCAGGATAAACTTTGCTGAGCTCTTACAAAAGCTTCCTTTGAAAAATCAGGCCCAGGGCTTTGTGTGAGAATGTCAGGTGGCACCTCATGATGTTGTGTGCTAGCCAAGGCTTCTGCCCTCCCCTCTGGGAAAGGGCACTGGGATGCTTTGACTCTTCTCTGTGATCTCAGTCTGACCTTTGCTGGTTGTTCCTAATCCAATTCCTGAGTTCTGTGAACATGCAGGACCAGAACAAGTGCCAGAGTATGACCATGTCCAGTGGCTTCCAAAGCCTTGAGGAAGGGAGTGAAAGAACTCAGCTCCATGCAGCAGCTTCCATGATGACAAATTGCAGTGCTGAGTGTCTCGTGCAGGAGAGAAATTTATCTTTGGAGAGAAATTCAATGCAAACAAAAATATTAAGATGTCAGGAAAGGACTGTTTCCTGCAGTATCATTTCTAGCAGTTTTTTCCGGTCCAACTTTAAATTCTCATTTGTGAGACTGTTCTGTCATTACTGCATCTCACCAGCAGTGTTTTTCCCTGATGTATATGGGAAATTGCTATGGTAACATGAAAAAAAGACCAAAACAGTGGAAATGCATACAACTTAAACCAAAGACTGCTGGTGGCTGCCTGTGAGCCACCCTTTTCTTGTGCAAAATGGGATGTAGGTTATCAAAGCATTAGCTACCTTGCTTTCTTTTCCCCCAAAAGACGTTGGCCTGTGTTAAGGTACCTCTGTGTCATTTAGATCCACCTGCTTTGTGAGCAGACTCAGGTACTCTCCACACAAAAAGCAGGATACTCTGGCTCCAGTGGGATGTCACAGCCCTGTGAGCCCAGGCAAAATCTCAGGCACTACCTCGGTGTTGAGGACCCTGTTCAGGACCCTGGTGCTGTTTTTACCTCACTGGAAGATCCTGCAGACGGAAAATATTTTTTTAGAGCTTTGAAAAGTGGCAGGACAGTTTTGTTAAGTTGTATTGATTAGAGCACCAAAGAACTTGCTCTGAAACTATTGATTCAGCTCAGGCCAAAGCTGCTGCACTGGAGCCTTTACCCAACGTGCACATCTGAGCTGTCCCACTCTGCCCCCAGGCTGCGGGTGGCTCTGCACAGTGGGACGGGGGGGGGTTCTCCAAGAGTTCTCTCAGCTCTTCCCCTAGTGTTCAGCAGGAGTTTTGCTATGGACAGTACTGGGAACAAGGGTAGGTGAAGGGAGAGCTTCAGTGAATACACCTGGCCCCGACCAGAGATCAGAACACCCTGTGCTTCCCATTCTGACCAGGATCACATGGAATTAGGCACGGAAAAGAGTCAAACAGCATACACTGTTAAGCAGCATTATGGTTCAACTGCCTTGGAACTTCCAGACTCACCTCCTTCTTGACTTAACACCCCCTCCCCATCATGGCACTGTGATGTGCAGGGAAAGGCTCTGTCATTAGGAGGGGAGAGGAGAAGAGCAGGTCACATTTCTCCCTTCTGTTCCAGGCTCTGCTGCCATCTTGCTGCTTTTTTTTGACAAGTCATTTAACTCCTTCAAACAAAGAAAAAAAGAAAAAAAATTCTGACTAAGAACCAAACATTCTATGAGGTCTTTGGCTGAAAGGATCTGGGTGGATGTGAAAAAGATAAAAGCAGCAAGGAGGGAAGAAACATCCCAGCTCTGGGCCTGAGGTTTTCAGGAACCATTGTTTTTCCCAGCATTACAATCTACTTACATGAAGCAGGTGCTGTTTGATTGTTCTTTCCAAGACATCTCTGCCTCAAGGGCAGACAGAGAGTTGGAAGAGAGGACAACTGTTGTTTTTCCTTGCTGCAGGATAGAACACCTTGGACTCAACGTTGTCCTTCAGCTCCTGGTCGGGGTTCCCCTGGAGATGGTGCACGGAGCGGCGAGGATCAGCTTCGTGTACGTCGCAGGAGTTGTGGCAGGTAGGTGACACCTCTGGATGCCCCGGGTGGAGAAGCAGCTGAAAATGGCCTGTGCTGACTTTGGTGTAGGAGAAATGTTTTGTGACGTTTGGGATCAGGAGAAGAGCAGTCACTGATCTGGGCATCGAAATCCTTCTGGGGGCTGGAAGTGGGAAGTATGGTACAGCTGGACATCTATTTCTATCCAGCCACAGGCTCTGTGTTTAGGAGACCTCCTAAAAAAGCACCAACAACCTGCTACTTTAAAATAGCCTTATTTTAGATGGTCTTGCTGAATGTGGAGGTGATGCTGGTCCTGTGCCAGATCTGCCTCCATTTGTCCTATCAGCTTTCTACAGCCTGAGTAAGCAGGAAGTATTTGGTTGTAGGTTGTGAGCAGTGCACAGCAGTCTGGAAAATTCATCTGATCATGAAGCCACAGGATTTGATTGATTTTCAGCTTGTGCTCTATTGCTTTTATTTATGTTTGGAATTTCCAGCAGTTTGGAGGTGATGGAAGTTAGCTGACAATAGATCAACATCTAATTAAAACAGGAGGAGGGTGTGAGAACAACCAGAAGCTTCACAGTGGAACTCAGACAATGACTGACTGCCTCAGTTCCAGATTTATGGTGTTTGGTTGGGTGTATTTTCCCAGCTACGTAATTATTTTTTTTCCATAATGAGCAGATAAAGCCTTTGTAAAATGGACTGTGTTGGGTACTAATAAATCCTACATTCCAGGAGAGAGACTGTGGAAAGAGTAATTGGACTAGGACACAGGACGAGGCCCGGTACAAACACCACACTATTTAATGCAGAGAAAGGAATTAGCAGACCAGCTCCACTGTCCCTGGACTGTGATTTTAAAAAGCACTCACTGAAGTGGTTCCCAATTTGTAACTTCCCAGCTTTTCTGCATAGATACATCCACCAAAGCCTGGAGATTCACTGGTGTGTGTAAATACACCTGTGCCAGGTGAGGGAGGCAGGGGAACGCTGAACCTGCTGCAGTTGAGCCCAGGGGAGCACTGGGAGTTTCCAGCTGCCTCTCACCTTCCTGAGGCCATGGGCTTGCCTTTCCCACCTTATGACCTATAAATTCTAGAAGAAAGTGCCAAATGGAAAGGGAAAACTTCCTTTCTTGCTGCAGAATGGAACTACAAATGAGACCAGACAGTGCCAGGCAGAAAAGCATCCCTTGATACCCATCGGAGTTGTTAGCCAGTTGTGAAACGTGCTTAATTCTTTGATATGTGCCAGGAGAGAGAGAAGTAGATATACTCATGATGAGGATGTGGCAATATAAGGATCAGTCAGCTCCTAAACAGTCAGGAATAAACAGTAAAATGTAGACATGGGCCACAATTTTATGGGTTTTTTCTCATCTGTCTGACATGACTAAGAAGACACGTTGAAGCTGAAATTGAGTCTCAGTGCAGCGTCTGAGGACTTAACTGCAAGTTCTCATTACTCCTTCCTTTATTCCTCATTAACATTTTCCTTAATGGCAGTGTTGAGGAGCTGAGGAGTCTCAGGGCCATACAGTGAAGGAGGGAGCTGTCAGCACAGTTGCCTGGTGGAACCTCAGCACTTTCTTGACCCAGAATCAGCTGAGCAATCAGCACAGAAGTTTGTTAGATTATGTACTATTGAGGACTCTCTCAAGATTTACCAGAGTGTCTTTTTCCTGTTCCTGCTCATCAAAAAGATCTTCATTATCCCTGTCTTGTGACACCAAATCTGCCTTTGTCTCTCTAGCTCTGAAATTACTCTCAAATTTGGCAATGAAAGGAGCTTTGAGCAGATCCAAGCCTCCAGCTGGGATAAGGAGAAGCAGCGTCTGTGTTTGGGTGCACTGTTACCAGTGGTGCCTTTATGTGATTGACCTGTCACTTTGCTGTCATGTGTCTCCTGCCCCCATCCAGGATATTTTTAGCTGGTTTTACTCTGAAGTTTTACAAGTAACAAGCTGTGCTTTGATCAGACGCCTATGCTAAGTTACAAGTCCAGAGTTCCTTCTCCCCGTGCAAATATTTGTCTTGCCAACACGGGAGCTCCTTCTATTTTATCTTCAGGTGAGAAACAGGACACAGACATTTGTCTGCCTCCTGCTTCCTTGTTATTTCAGTCAGGGTATAAATGCCTTTTTGTAGCACAGGTCTAAAGATACTTTGCTGCCTTGCTTGGCTGCTTTTAAAGTAGGTGCAGAGGAATCAATCACTCACTGTCTTGGCAGTTCTACAGGACTGGGTTGGCTCCACAAGCCAATCGATTCCCCCCTCTTTCTCTTTCTGTATTACTGACCTGCAGCAATTAGCACAACCAGGCAGTAGCAGGGATGTGGGGGAGGAGAGGGTGTGTTTTTTTGGCTGGCAGTTGTCCCAAACCCTTGTTCTTTCTGCAGGGTCCCTGGCAGTGTCAGTGGCTGACATGAGGGCGCCGGTGGTGGGCTCCTCTGGAGGTGTGTATGCTCTTGTCTCCGCTCACTTGGCCAATATAGTGATGGTGAGTACCAGAAGGACTGTCTGACCTCTCCAAAGTGAGCCAGGTGGCCCAAAAGGCTTGGAAATAAGGCCTGGCTCAGCTGTTGGTCATTCAGAGTTAAGTCTTGTCTCAGTGGTGTGCTCCTGCAATGGGAATGTGACACTGGGGCTGGTGGCTCGGTCCCCTGAGGATTGACAGCTCGCCAGGAGAAGCCAAAGGTGCTGGTAATCCAAGACTTACCAGTGTTCTCCAGGCTATCAGCTATCCTTGCAAGGGCTGCCAAGTGTTTGAGGAGAAGGAGCTGCCTGGCTCTGCAGAAGGTGCAGACGTGTTTCTGTCTGCATGGGCTGTGTAATTTTAGTGGGTATCTAGTGAAATTTAGTGCTCAGTGCACTCGTGTGCAGAATGTCCCTTATCTCCATTTGTAAAACCCAGCCTGGAGCTGAACCCTGGGTGATCTAGTGATGCCTCTTTTGGCTGTTTCACCTAATGAAATACTTCACAAAGGTCAGTAAACAGCAGCAGCATCATTCTTCTAAAGCTGGAAGCAGGAGCTCCACCCCAGCCCTCCCTAGGTGGTGGCAGAGCCCAGCTCATCTGCCTGGGGGTCTCCTCAGCTGACACTGGCAAAAAGGGCTTCGCTGAGAGAGGACTGTGTGTGGTGCCACAGGGGTGCATGTCTGTCCTGTGCCAACAATGCCAGAGCAGAATAACCATAAAAATGATGATAATCCTTCTCCCCTGGCTCTGAGTGGGAAGATAACATGGTTTGGCTGCAGCAGAGAAATAAGGTCTGTTGGATGGGTGCTGGCAAACATGTGAGTGTGTGGTGGTCCTGGAGCCAAGCCTAAAAGAAAACCTTGTACTTAAAGCTTGTGTGCAGTGCAGTCAGCAGGCTCCAGCTGTGCCCCACAATGGTGCTGCTCCAGACAGGCTTTGGAGCAGCTGGAAGCAGGGAAATGAGTGATTTCCTGAGCAGAACTGGTCTCCTTTGCCATCTTCGAGCTTTTCGGAGCATGAATGAGCTGGGGCTGGTGTCCAAATTGGGACACTTGAGGGCTGGCAGAGGCAGGGAGTGGAGGAGAGGGGCTACCCTGTACCACAGGGTTTCTGCTGGGGAATTGCCTCCTTAGACACAGCTATTTTTAGTATGATTTGTGCTCCCTGCCACGGTGCCAACAGAAGCAGGAGGGAGCTTCCTCTGCCTCCCAGGGTGGGAATGCAGACACAGGGGTTTTAACACTACAATTCACAGGAACAAAGGTTGCTTTAGAGGAAGAGGCTCTGCCAGAGGTGTGTGGAAAGTCTTCAGCAGTTACCTTCCCAGACTTCTTCAAACATCACAAAGTGGTCTGTGATTTCACTGCTCATTGACCTCCTCCAAATTTATTTAGCAATTGCAGCCTTAGCATCTATATTTCCCCATTATCCACTGCCTCTCTTATCATCTGAAATTACTTTTGTTGCCTTTCCAGTTCTGGTGGAGGGGTTTTTTTTGCTTTTCTTTCTCCCTCTGCTCTGTCTTTGCTCACTTCTTGTCTAGATGTGATGCTGAAGGACACTGTGGCTGTTTGCTGGCAAAGCACTGCCTGGCACAGGTGCTTTGGGTGCTGGGAGAGGAGGGGCTGGTCTGGAGAGGGTCTCTTGAAGCCACTGTTCCCCTGAGCCTCCTGACAGTGAAAGGAAATAGGAACATTCCTGCTTGTAAAAAGAAATATTACTGGAATTAAATACACAAAATAACCAACAGGGGGAGGCAATAAAGCATGTCACCCCAAGGAAAAGAGTGAGGGGAGGAATTCAAAGCAGCTACCTGGAAATGAAAGCTGAAGGAAGCAGCACAGTATTAATCAGCATGAGCTCAGAGCTTTCTGACTGGGTTAGGTTTCTCTGTGGAGAGAGAGAAAACGAGTTACTTATTTTGTAGAGATTGCATTTTTGCAGCCCCAGAAGTGATTTACAGACAGATCCCACATCAACCTTGAATATATGTAATACATATTGGAAAATATTTCTTCAGCAGGCTGAGAAATCACTGGGTACCATTAAAGTTAGGCTGAAGAGTTTACAAGTATTTTTTTAAATTATTATTTCTTCAGCGTGATGAACAGGGAGGTTTTCACAAGAGACCTGACTATCTTGGGATCTCAGACTGCTTTCAATGGGAGAAATTTCATTTAGTCACTGAATAATAATAATGGTGCAGTCATACTTCTGAGTTCCTCAAAATTTGATCTCTTTTTCTGCTTGCAAATGTTGTGCAAATGAGAAAGGAGGAATTTAAATATTTCTCCTGTGATTTCTGATTATCATTCAGAGATTCTTCTTCCACTATATTGATTAATGACCAAGTCTGAAGAGAGAGGAGGCTGAATCCAGGCTTTCTTATGGCAGTGTTGATATGCTTTTACTGAGGTCTTTATTATTTCTGTATGCTCAGCTAAAGGTCTGAGCTGCAGAATTTCAAATATCCTTTATGGCCATGGCCTCTGGGACTGACAGATCTGTGTGTGGAGTGGTGGGTGGAGAGAATAGATCCGAGTGTAACAGCCAGGTTTGGATGCAGCACCACTTTGTTTTCCTTGTCTCTCTTCCAGAACTGGTCTGGGATGAAGTGCCAGTTCAAGCTGCTGCGCATGGCTGTCGCCTTGATCTGTAGTGAGTATCACCCAGGCCTTGGCATGCAGGACTCCTGCTTTGCTAGTCCTTGTCATAACAGCTCATGCTGATTCAGGGAGTTTGACTTTGCAGCAGTTTTGGTAGGAACTTGCAGCTGGACCCTCTGGCAGCACAAACCACATCGCTCCCAACTGCAGATTTTGGCTTTCAGCACCATGGTTTGTGAACGAGGGTTTGTCATCAGCCAGCTTGTGTTTGTGGAGATGTGGGACTTAAACACCTTCTCCTGGGATTCCTAAAACAAGCAATGCTTTTGTAATGAGAATACTTGGGTTTCCTGGGGCACTTCCTATCTGGGGTGGCAGCAGCATTATCCACACACTAATGAATTATCTTCTGGCCATATCCCCAGGGTGGCACAAGGGAAACTAAGCCATGTGTTCATCACAGGCAGCTGTCTTCAAATTCCAACTCATTTTTTTTTTATGGTTTTGGTATAAATTTTGGGAGGTGAATATTCCCCCACCTGTCTACACTCCCACTTACCAAGCACTGGAGAGACCCCATTTCTGTGCACCACAGCCCTGACACAGCTCAGGCTTCCCAGCTTCCCTGAGCTCACCATGCCATGCAATTTCTCCCTCTCTGTCTCTCTGGGGACTCAGTGCTGCCTGCCAGATGGACTCAAGAAGGGGCAGACAATTAATTTATCTTTCCTTCTTTGTTCCAGTGAGCTTTGAATTCGGCAGAGCCGTGTGGCTGCGGTTCCACCCCTCGGCGTACCCGCCGTGCCCCCACCCCAGCTTCATGGCCCACCTGGGAGGGGTCATGGTGGGAATCACCCTGGGAGTCGTCATCCTGAGGAACTATGAGCAGAGACTCCAAGATCAGACTTTATGGTGGATCTTCCTTTCTATTTATGTCATTTTTGTCTTGTTTGCCATCTTCTGGAACATTTTTGCCTACAGCCTGCTGGATCTAAAGCTACCTCCCCCTCCCTGAAACCACGGGACAGAGAACTGGAGAGCGGAAATCATCTGTCAGCTGTGTGGCATGAATGGAGATGGAGGATCTATTTTTGTGTTTAACTTAGGGGAGGATGATTCTTCTCAACACAAGCGTGTGCTGGAGGAGATGCTTAAGGATCTCATGAAAGAAGGGGCTGATCAGTTTGTCCACAAACCCAGCAGGTTCTGCAGTCCTGGCTGGCCGTGCCCTGTGGTTTGTGCCCTGCCCCTGGGCACTCACTGCCTGGACTGCTGGCACACATCAACGTTCTGTAGGAGATATCTGTATTTTCCAGGTCAGTGCTGGAATTAGGGCCAATTGCAGAGTGAATCTCCTCACTGTTACTGGACACCAAAAGGGAAAAAGAGCAGACATTTACTAATTAGAGACTCACATGGTACTCACAGGGCAGCTTGAGTCTGGTCTCTATGGACACATCTGACTGTTCAGCCATACCAGTGCCACTGTCTAATTACTTGAATGGTTCTGAAGGTATTTTAGCCTGTGGTGAAACTTGTCTTGCACAACTTTCAAAGGAATCAGCAGAACTTGCTCACACAAAGTGATGGAGACTGGGCTTCAACCACAGGTCAAATGAAATTGCACTATAAACATTGGGAATCTCTAGTGTTGTGGACACCCAGGCAGAGGTGACTTCTACTGTGCATGTTTCACTTGATTTTAATTAATTAGTCCCCCCTCCCCAGCCTACTGTGGCAAGAGGGTGTGGCTGGGGTTTCTTTTTTGAGGGATGAAGAAAAGGAGGGCAAATGTTCATTTGTGGTTTTATCAGAGGACAATCAGGTGCTGTTTTTTTCTCACTGTATTTCTGGCCACGCTGACCTAACACCTGGCCTTGCAGTGAGCTCCTAGCAAGGATCTCAACTCTTCCAGCAGGTTCTTCCTAGAAAAGTGGGACCAGGATCACCTACAGCAGCCCAGGGTGGGAACTATCCAGCCTTTGCAGCCATACAGTCCATTTGGGGCCAGGCCCACTGAAGGCAGTGGAGTTAAATCAGGTTGTGTGCAGCACTGGTTTCCCACAGAAGTGAAAATGGTGTTATGGTGCTACAGTGATCATTGTCAAACAGATAGAACTGGTTTTAAGGTGACTGCTGCATTTTGAGGGTGCCTCTTCCTGAGGCAATGGATGTTCAGGAGCTCCAAACAAGAGTTAGTTGCAATGATGCCTTTTTCTTTAACGTTGGCCAAGGCCAGGTCCAGGCAGTGTGACTGGGCTGTGGCACAGTCCACACAGTTGCCTGCAGGGACCTGGGGACCACAGGGGAACATCTGTGGCACGAGCAGTGCCTACAGGTACTCCTGTCTGTAAGGTGCTTAACTTGCTTGTCACTTAAGAGAGCTGCCAAACCACAGTCCAGGAATGTGGGTGCCCTCCTTTTCTCTCCCCTTTACCCACCTATTGGATGGTCTGGATAAAGCAGCCAGAAGAGTCTCTCCAGACAAGCTCCTCTTTTCCTTTTTTCCCTTTCCCTGCTGGTGCCCAGGCACAGCCCCCTGAGCCTTCCACAGCACATCTCACAGGCACTGTGGTAGTTGTGTAGCAAAATGTCTCTGTGTCGTGGGCTTTATTCTCTCAGTTGTGTTATCTGTGCTGCCATATGATACCACAAGCTGGTAGGGGTCTATCCTTCTAGAGGGGATATTCACAAGTGCTTCTCAGCTGCCCCCTTCTTTGCCTCCTGTGGGAAAAATAACTCTGGTTTGAGGGGTGAAGTTCTACTCCCACAGAATGCACTGGAAAAAAACTTCTGTTGCCTCGGGGAAAGGGAGGGGGGAGAAAATAAGTGAAAAAAGCCTTACCTGAAAAGAAACAATTTTGGCACCCTTGTGCACAGAAATGGGATTTCTGAGGGTGACAGCACCTTTGTTGTTCTGCATGGCCAGTGCAATGCTTGTGGGCCCTCAGACCCAGGAGCAAGAGGAAGAGAGAAGGGTCAGAGCTCTGTTCAGGTTCCCTGTGCCCTGTTCCCTCTGCAGTTCAGATCCAGATGGAAGCAGTCACGAGAGTTCCCATGGATTGTTCCAGGTGCTGGCCCAGGGAGTGCTGTAGCAGTGGAGATCATCTCCTTGTGGAGCTGCAGGGGAGCAGGAGAGCAGGGAGAGTGCTGGCAGAGACATGGTTAACAAGTAAGGAGGACATTCCTTCCCTCACCTGTTGCTAAGCCTTTCTCATCAAAGATGCCTTTAAACAGAGGTGACCAGGATGGGGAGTTCCCCTGAAGTTTTAGGGAAACTTTTAAAATGTTGGTAGAAAATTCCAATTGCAAAAAAAAGCCACTCCAAGCTATTTTGCCTGTAATTTACCAGAGTACAATATGCACCAATTGGCTTTTATTTTTGGTTTCTCAGCTGAAAGCTACTTAATGCCCATCAGATTCTCCCCAGTGAGGGTTTCTGTGCCTGCCTGTGTGTGCTCTGGAGTGAAGGAGCAAGATGCAGATTCAAGAGCCACCGGTTTCTTCATCAGCCTGAGCATGGCCAACATGCCTTTGGTCTGCTCAGGAGTGGGAAGGAGCTGAACAGAGTAATGCAGACCCCCCTCTCTGGTCCTTTATCCATAGATTAATGGAGTCTACATGAACTGGTTGAAAACAGCTCTGAGGTTGAGCCTATGACTTGTTCTTTTAAACTGTTGTTCATCTTCCTGACTTCCATTCTGTCTCCCCATTCCCTGCCTGAGCAAGTCTACAAACAGCCCTGGGGACCAGAAAGGCCAGACTTTAAAGCAGTACTAGATTTATTGTGAGTGAAGCAATGAAACCGTCTCACATTCCTGCTCATCAGAGCTGAAATCTCCCCCCATACATGGAGCAGGTTGTCTGCTGGGAATCAATCAGCCCACGGAGTCAGGAGCAGCACCAAGTGCTTAAGCTTTTGTAATTATTTCTTTTAATCACTAAAATTACAGTATGAAAACTTGTAATGTTTCTACAGAGTACTGTGAGTTCTGGTTATGTTGTTTTCTCACACACCCAGGAGTGCCACAGTGCTGCAGCACCACAGAGCTGAGAGCAGCCAGGCTTTCCTGTTACCTCCAGATGTCCTTGGAGCTGCTGGCTTGTGTCAGAGCCGGAATATTCCCCATCCTGCTCATTTGTGGTTCCAACTTCTCCCAGTCAGCAACGTGTTCCTGAAGGAGTGTCCTCCGAGGGACTGTTTTTGGTGATTCCTATGGTTTTATTTCAGCTGCTGCCAGGATTTTACATCAGTCACATAAAATGTGACTTTATTGACCCTCCCGGCTGTGCAGTGCCAGAGCAGGAGTGTCACCCACGGACAGGTTTGAACAGGGCACCTGAGAGGGAGTTATTTTGTGCTGTGTCCCTGAGTGAGGACACAACACCTAAAAAAAAATCAGCCATTTCTGTGCAGGGATTCCCTTGCAGAGAGCACATTGCAGGTCCAGCGGGATGGGGCAGGAGCAGTGCGGTACCCGGGAGCCGGGAGTGCGGGATGTGGAGCTTCCAGGGACACCTGGCGGCAGCGCGGAGGCAGGACGGGAGCCAGCTCCTGCCTTCCCTAGGACGGGATCTGGCTCCTGCCTCTTCCCCAGGACGGGAGCCAGCTCCTGCCTTCCCTAGGACGGGACCCGGCTCCTGCCTTCCCCAGGACAGGCGGGAGAAGGGGCTCAGGCAGCCGTGGGGAGCAGGAGGAGGAAGGAGGCGAACCAGGTAGATCAAAGTCCAAATGGCACCTTTTATTCCCACAGGTAAAGATTAATTTTGCACAGGGTGATAACACAGGAAGGAGGAGGGAGAAAGTTGTAGTGCAGTGACGGGAGAGGAGGGAGGTTACCAGAAACAGTCTCTGAGTGAGGTGTAGCAGTTGTACATATGCTGATGAATTTACGTTTGCTGAGTTTTTAAGACAACATCTTGTGTCACTGTTCCCCCATCAGTCGAGGAGGAATCTTAGCACTTACATGGCATATTGTGATTTTTCACTACTTGCTCCTTTGGCAGTGGGAAGTATGTTATCAACAGGGAAGGGGGAGGCTGGAGAAATTGTTACTAGAAATAAAGCTTGGGGATTCTGCATCCCAAGACCTTGCTCCTTCTGATGGATTACACTGCCTATGTGTTTCAGATCAGATCAGACCATTTCAGTTTGAGCTGGGCTAGGAAGGATGAACCTGACACTTTACAGCTGGCACTAACCTGACTCTGTGCTGACCTCGAGGCAGCTGCTGCTCTGTGCCAATATTTCATCTCCCAGCGTCTCCCGTGGGCAGGACTTTCACACATTCTTCAGTGAGTAAAGAGCTCAAAGTCTGTTTACACAGATTCCAGCTCAGCTCAATTACTTTGGAAACCCCATCCTCTGGCTTTACCCAAAGTGGAACTGGAGAATGTGGGTGCACTTCAACACCAGCCACCTCTGGGGACAAGCTGGGCCCTGGAGCAGCCAGGCCAGCACCTCTGAATGCTGCTGCTCTCCTGTTTCCTCACAGAGGTGGCTGCTCTGCAGTGCTCTGGGACAGAACTCAGAGGTTCCTCCTGCAATCACTGATGCCAAGAGCTGGTTATGAAGGAAAACAGTGCATTCTGCACTCTATAAAAAAAGAATCATACTTAAGACAGGAAACAAGCTTGTTTAAGGGTAAATGTATTTTTAATGTCACCATTAATCATTGGCTTTTAATTGGAAAAAGCTTTCTAATGAGGTATTTCTGAAATGCCAGTAGGAGTACAGAAAATTTATGTTTCAGGGTACTTTACAACAGGAGCACAAAATATTCCCTAGGCCTGACTTAAGTAGCAAAAGTACCTTATTTTCAGTGAGCTTGATAGACACGTTGTCACTGACTCTCTCCTGACTCCCCCACAGTGTCTGTTTAGTTTGCAAATAAAGCCAGATTTATGCAGCTTTTCTTTTGCTTACACTGCTAATGTTAACAACACATCTGAGTGTTAAACACAAAGCACTAAACTAAGTGATTTTCTGCCTTAAAATACTGAACAAATGATACTTTCCCGTGAAGGGCTAGTAAAACAAAGTGATACTTGCAAGGTAAGATGCTATGGTACGTCTCCAAATATTTTTGTATTGTGTACATTCTGTATATTTTTGTTGTAACAATATTATTTGAGCGCAGAATCCATTAAATTTTTTTTGGTGGTTTTTTTTTTTGGTTTATTTGTTTTCTGTTTCGTTTTTCTTTTCTCTTTTTTTAATAAAATTAAGTTGTTCTGTATCACGTGCCAAAAAACAACCAAGAAAAAACTTTCAAGGACGGTTTTGTCAGTTTGTCTGTAGTTAACACATTATTTAACAAAAAAGCAATTGGTTTGGAGCTCTGCAATGGAATCTTCTAACTATGACATTGGTAACTCGTTTTTATGTCTGTCTAGGAGATAAAGGGGAGAGTAAAGTGCAGCTTCACTTCTTTTGGGACATAATGAGGATGCAGAACCAGCTTGGGACTTGCATGGAAATTCAGGTCTTGTCCCAGGTTTTGGCAGCTGCCACTGCAGTGCAGCAGTGACCTCAGCACTGCAGGGAGGGCGACAACCAAGAACATGAAACTGTTTAAATGTTGTTATTGGGGAGGAGGGTTGTGCTCTTTTAACATCAGTCTCTATTGAGTGTCTTTAAATCTGAGAGCCAACACATTCTGGTCTCTTGAACCGACAGTGGAAACAACATATCCAGAAAGTTCCAATGTGAAAGCAGGAGGCTTATTTTGAAAAATATTTTATGTTGTTGTTGGGATTTTGTGGGTTAAAGTGTAACTTCCAGGGATGAAGATGTGACCAGCAGCAGCTCCTGTTAGATGTGTTATTCCTAAGGGAGGAGATCACTGCTGCTATGTGTGGGACTCAGCTCTTCCTGGCAGCTCTCTGGAGACACTTCAATCTCTCTGTTCATTACCTGAGGACTTCCAGCAAGAAGGTGAGGTGGGTTTTGTTGGTGTTTTTCAGGTAACACAAGAAGTCTCACTGCCTACGAGCACCTGTCATTTTTCTTGCTACCTGTTCTTCACATCCCACTTATCTTTTGAGCACTGAGCTGTGAATGACACTTGCAGCTCCTCTGCATTGTGTGATAACGGGTTTTACACAGAAGACATCAAGGACAACACTCATTTGCAATTTACAGGCACACTACTAAGGATTTGAGTTTATTGTAAACTTTATTTCACACAGTGGTGTCACAGGAAAGCACCAAACTTCTGTCATCACAGTACAGAGCAGAGGCACAACAGTCACACTGAACCATGTTCATCACAGTCACTGTTTCAGGGAGACTTCTCCCAACACCTTCTGCTGCAAAGGGAAACCACAGGAGTTTTGCTGTTATCAGGTTTGCAGAAATCATTCTCATTTAGGAGGTCTCTCAGAGACCTTGTGAGTTTGGATTCCAGCTGTAGCCAAAGATTTCCTTCAGGTATTCTGCTGCCCACCTGTCCTATGACGTGGGAAAGAATTCATTGCTGAAATACAACAAAATATTTTAAAGTCTGAACCTGGGAACTTAATTTACTTCAATTCTGAAGAAGTTTCATCTAATTTAAAGTTAATATTTAATCTATAAAATTTTCAGATTTAATTCTTCCTAATTAAAAAACATATGATGATTTACAGTTAGCAAAATGGGTACTAAGAACATACAAAGGTGCTGATCACACCACAAACTAAGAAAGAAGGGATTCATCAAATAGCTTGGGAACTTCAGATGCCTGTCCTGTGTCACTGAAACTGTTCAGTCTTTAGGCAGCTCTGTCTCATACCATTTAATGACTTGTTTATCCAGAGACAGAATAGTCAGTTTGAAAGCAGAATGCACAAAGTAGCTACAGACTTGTTACCTATGCTCTCTTATATAATCTGATTAATTCATTTACTATAATCTATCCAGATGTTTGTGCTCCTTTATTAAAACAAAGTAGCCAGATCCTAATGATTACACATGATAATTTTGAAGACATTTAAAATATTAAAAACACTGAAATGCTTGCCAGGTAAGGGATTTGGGTTTGGGTTTTCTTTCATGTAGTGACTGTAAAAAACAAACATCATGATTTCCTCAGAAGAGGAGCAAGTCAGTTGGACAATCTGGTAAGCACTAAAAACTATGCCAGAGTTTGTATGATCTGGTATTTACACATTAAAAAGCTTCATCTGAAAAAGACAAAAGGCAGGTGAAGCTGCAACTTAAGTTTGACTTGGGTAATACTTTTAAATATAAATTAAAAATTCTGCAATAGCTTCACAGAAGAAATGAATGATTTATATATAAGGTAATTTTAAGCCACCGCTGTTTCTCTCATGAATTCCTCGAGGACGGTCACTACATTCCTGGCTTCTGGCATCTCTGCATGCTCCACTTTGACAATCTTCAGGAGGATGTCTCCACTGCCACAGTTCTTCAGGAACAGGTAGCACTTGAACAGGGCATAGTGGTTCATCTCAGCCTGGCGGATAAACCTCTTCAGGTTGTTAATGTCCTGGATGGCCTAAAAGAGCAAGCAGAGCATATTCTTATCCTTCTGTGTGGAAAGAAAACACATGACCATGTGGGAAATGAAGGATGAATACAGGAGAAGCAAAAGCATTTCCAATAGCAATTTTGTGTTACTACTCAAGAGTAATGTAAGCATGGAGTACTGTCCCTGATGTATATAACCACTGTTACTGTGGACACAGCTTGGTGTGCCCAAACTTGCAGCAAGAATTCCCCTGTTATGGCAGCTCACCTAAGAAGTGTTAACTACTGAACCCCTGTCACCAGTTACACCATACTGTGTGTGCACAGCTCAGATTAACAAGATTTAAAGAAAGGAGAAAAAAAGAAAAGGTGGGTTTTATTTTAAATGAGAAAACACCTTTGGAACATTCACTGAGGAAACTTCCAAACTGCTTTATAGGGGTCAACTGCAGTAAGCCAGGCCTCAAATTAAACTTCAGGGTTACTCAGTTAATGACATACAGACACTGTAAATAACCTGCAACTTTTTTTTGCTGCGAGTATTTGCTCCCTCAGCAACCCCCATGTCTTCTTCAAGTCTTTAACATATATGAACATGTACCTTCAGTTTGAAGTTTTCCAAAATCTGCCGGAAGAGAAATGGATTGCCACCTTCAGCACCGTTCACAAAAGCCTGCATCCAGTCCTCACAGAATCTGTTGCTCCCTGTTACATGTTCAGGAACATGGAGAAGAGAAGAGTAAATGAGCTCCACAGAAATATACAGCTGCATTCACCTGGTTTCATCCCTCTCATGTAACAACTGATAGTCGTATACCTGGGCCAGGAAAGAAGTTTTAAGGAAAAACAGTATATGTGGAAGAGAAAAGCTAACACAGCTACAGTGATTACATGACACTCTGATTGTTGAATCCCTTTTCACAGCATTTGTTAAAATCACAACAGGAATAATAAGTTTTGCAGATTCCCTGAATTGTATTTTCATAGGGATGAATGATGGGTGTTATTATCAAGCATTTTCAGCCCAGAGTTCCAGTGTCTGGGGTAACAAACCACCCTGGTACTTCCTAGGACAGGTGTTGTAGTTTCCAGCCAGAATCCCAACTTTCTGGGCAGGAGCCTACAAGTTTCTGAATATCCTCAACAGCCTCTGCCATGCCCAGCTGTGAGCAGCTGCAGGATCCCAGGGAGGCACACAAAGCATTCCCAGCTGTGATCTCACCTGCATTGTGTAACTGGGGCTGAGCTGCACTGCAGTCTATAACCAGGGACTTGTGCTGTTCCTCGGTCATGGCAATGCACAGGGAGGTCATTGTGCCTTCCTGGACCAGTCCTTGCAGGCTGGCAGCTGCCAGGAACCTGGCACAGAGAGCTCTTGTGAACTGCTTGATTCTTTACAGCTCCTGGACAGCAGGGAGGAGGCTGTTACAGAAGCCAAGTTACTCACAGGTTCCTTGGTCCCAAAGTATCTTTACCTGCTGATGTCCTTTTCTGTTCTTTCATCTGCATTTTTCACTTCTACAGGAGTATAACTCAAAGCCTGAACACAAACAAAGAAAAAAGCTGGATGCAACGTTGCTATTACTGCTGTTGCTATATTGCAGTTATGAGCAATAAATACATAATGTGGTACTTTAAAAATTGTTCTTTTCAAGGCAGTACTCCATGTTCTAGTTATTGCAGCAGGTTTTGCACTCAGAAGAAATTCAGCAGTTACACTCTGTTAGCTATTCCATCCAAAGCCTCCTCAATCTCAGGGATTAGAGCTAGGATTAGTTTCTTTTCTGTTTCCAGTGAATTACAGGAGGCACATACACAATATAACAGCCCTTTTTGTTCAGGGGAATTATACCAGGGACAGCCTGCTCAGGCTATTTCTAATTTTCTTATTCTAATTTCAACGTGGGCACTGTTAGGTAATTTTACATGAGTTAACTATAATAATTAATGGAAGAAATTGTTATGTGTTTCCTTAGCAATAAAGGAGGGAAAAGGTACTTGTGCTGAATTAAAAGGGGGGAAAAAAAAGAAGAAAAAAGCTGCTCTTCATTTCCTCCTGCTGGGAAAGCAAATGCAGGAAACATTTTAACTATGCTGGAGTCACTGAGGTGCCTTCTGAAGGTTTTTTAGTTACCCAGTTTTAAATACACTTACAGCATGTAACAGAGAGGCCAGTTTGTCCTGGAAGAGCTGCACCACCCTCTGGATGGGGCAGATGGCATCCTCAAACCAGCTCCTCAAGTAGGGGCTCACACAGCTCTCCAAGTTCTTTTGCTGTGACAGGTTGAAACGTTAAAGCTTTAACTACAAATTAGATTTCTACACAAATAGAAGCCTATTAATAATCTACTCAACCTAAGATATTTGGATGTCAGAGCCTTCTTAATCCTAAACCACAGAGAACTAAAATAATGAGTTTGACATTTAAAGCCGGACTTTATCAGCAATGAAAGGCTTTGCATTTTAAGGAACAGCCAGAACTGAAATATTATGGTATATATTGAGCAAAGACCATGCAACAGCAGACTGGATGACAAAGAGACTTAAGAGGAAGAGTTTCCACTAGAAAAATGTGACGAGAAACCCACAAAAAATCCTTCTTTAACATTCAGAAGGGGTAAGAATCGAGGTGGACATCAACGATTTCCTTGTAGACAATTATCTTTTATTAGTCATTCTTCTCTCCAAATCTAACTGTAAGTAACTTTTAAGAGATTCATGACTAGCACAAAAAATATCTCTCCCTTCTCTTTTTTCTTCCTTTTGACTTGTGTGGTTGAGAGCACTTTAGACATTCATTGTCACTACAGTGAATCAAGTATCTCTCACAGTGTTTTACTGCTACTTAGACCACCTATTTTGGCTCCATAGACTAAATCTTCCAGATTGTCTTAGCAATTAATTTGGGTAAATACTCATTTTCACCACTTAAAGAAAGAGTTAGGCCTTACCTCCAAATCAAGGTTTATCTTCAGACTTTGAATGTATTTGTCCAGCTCAAGTCTGAAAGTATCTTCTTAAGGAAAATAAGGTGCATCAGTTAAGACCTGCATTTTTCCCTTTCAGTGTATGGCTGTCACTGACATTTTCAGTTACTGGAAGGTGTGCACAAACGAGCTGATTTCAGGTAGAAACAGACAAAATGACAGGATAATTTTTACATCATCTCCCTCTCCACACCATGTAAAGGAAGTCAGAGGTAAGGATATAGTTCCAGACCTTTCTCTGAGCCACCTAAGAAGCAGACCACATATTCTGGAGCATTGGCGTCCGATTCCAGTGTCCCCATTTCTAGAAGATTTTCTTGTTGGAAACGACAGTAGTAACAACCAACTTTGCTTTCTGGTATGCTGTGAAAAAAAAAAAAAGAAAAAAATTATTTTGTTCCAGATACATCACAATAAATAGGTGCAAAAAGCAGACATACATGATTTCTGAGAGAATTTTCACCCACTAGCACTGGTGGCTCCTATGGTCATATATAAAGCTCTTAGACCTTCTTTTTTCCTCTGTGGTGTGATTAGAGTAGTTTAAAAGGAAATAATCATAAACACATGGACTGTTTTAAATTATTTCCTGCAATATATTTCTCGAAGCTACGTAAAAAAGGAAAGTGCCTTTGTGTAAGGCTGTTATTAACAGCAGCAGTAAACTGAGAACATGGAACCAGGATTAGACCAAAGAGCAGCAGCAGACAGGCAAGATGTGCAGTGCTGCCAATGTTCCCTACAGCTTCTCATCCACAAATAATCTTAAATATTTTACCTGAGCCCCACCGAGGCTACACTGCCCATCCCTTCAAACAGGGCTCCCTTAGTGAGGCGCTTGGCGATAAAACCGCGCAGTTCTGTCTCCGCTTCAGCTGGTAAGTTCGTGTCCAGCAAGGTGAGGCTTTACAAACAAGAAGAAATTGTTAGCAAAAGTCAAATGTTACCGTTTTGTTTCACCAAGTACAGAACCTGCCTCTAGCAGGGGGACCCCTGTGATCTCTCTCTGGTGACAGCTGACAGGTCTCTGACTTGTGGCCCATCAGGAGCAGTCAGTGATTTGCCCCCTCCCCAGCACTCTGGGGTTATGGTGTCAGCTCATGCTGACCTTCCCAGCAGCTCTTTCTTCCCATGTTTCCCTAGTTGTGATACAGAGCTTATGGAAACATGTCCACTGAAAATTAATACATTTTTGTTATCTGTTACCTATACGAAGACCTAAGTCAATACAGAAATATGAAGTAGCAAAGAAAAGAGAGTTCAAACTCAGAGATGGTAACTTATGTTTAATACACTATTTGAGCTATGCAGTTGTGTCCATTCCTCAGGTATTCCAGAAGAAGCACTCAGGGGACTCCAGTCTGCTTTCACAGGGGTTTGAGCTTTGAAAGCACTGCAATGGACCTAACAATGACCTGACAGCAATTCGGCAGAGACTTCAAAGCGTGTTGCAGGTGATTCTGCAGGTCGGCTTTACCTGAAGTCCTCGGTGGAGGGGGTGTGTGCCCCGGCCCCGCCATCCCCGCCGGCCGCTCCCTGCGCGGACCTGAAAGCCAAGGGATTCCCAGGATTGATTTTTACACCCGTGACACGGAACAGGGACCGCGATAGGGAAAGGTACGGCCCGAGGGCGAGTCAAAGCAGCAGCACGGAATCGGTGCATTATGGGAGGGAAAGAATCTCATCCGGGAGAGGGAAGAGGGGAAAAAACACAGGGGATTCAGGGAGCTGGGAACAGCCGAGGCCTGGGGCGGCCTCCCCACGGGGACCCGGCGCCTCCAGCTTTGCGTAGCCGTAGAGGCCGTGGTAGGTGCTGCCGCTGCCGCTCCGTGCCGCCGCTCCTCGCCCGCGCCGCTGCCCTCCTCGCTGCTCTCCAGCTCCCGCTCATCGCCGTGCCGGCAGCGCCGGCAGCATCGCGGCCCCGAGCCGAGCCCCCGCCTGTCCCGCGCGGAGCCGCCCCGGAGCCGCCGAGGGCGCGGTGGGTGCGCGTGTGTGAACCGCCCGCTGGGCCGCGACCGCCGGCGCGGGCCCGGCGCTGGGAGGAGCGTTCGGGGCCAGCGCTGGAGGAGCCAGCGGGGGTACAGGCGATGCCTTTCACTGACCTAACGGCAGACCGCTCAAATCGTTTCATAGAATCACAGAATCATAGAATGGTTTGGGTTGAAAGAGACCTTAAAGATGATCTCGTTCCAACACCTTGCTATGGGGCATTTGACAGGATTAGCCGTGCTGTCTGTTTTAAAAAGCTCTGCCTCCGAAATACCTCTTTCTGTGTTAAAGCAACACATTTGTTAGCTCCCGGCAGTTACAGAACCACAGGATCATTCAGGTTGGGTGGGACCTCTGGAGATCATCCAGTCCAACCTCCTGCCCAGGCAGGGTCACCTGCAGCAGCTGACACAGGGACGTGTCCAGGTGGGTTTGGAATGTCTCCTGAGGCAGAGACTCCACAGCCTCCCTTGTGTTGCAGATAAGCCTCGTGGGGAGCAGCTCTGACCCCCAGCTGCAGCAGGGCCACCGCAAAGCCTTGGACGAGGCTGATGGTTGGACCTGATGATCATACAAGTGTTTTCCAAGCTCAGTGATTCCGTGATTACATTCTAAGCAGCCAGTGGACCGGCCCGGAGCTGGAGAGCTGTGGGGATAACACAGACACAGCCCGCAATGGGTTGCCAGTGTAACAGAGGGACCAGCCTGGCCAGGCACAGGAAGCTGAGGAGGGTGACAACTCAACACGTTTCAGTTGGTTTTATTGTGTTCTCAGAGGGCCAGGCTCCCCCACACCCCATGGCCTCACTGTCAGCAGCCCGTACGTAACATGGACACAGCTGGCACCACAGCACTGCACAGCACAGTCTAAGCAACACCGGCTTCTTGCCCTGTCAGATTTCGTAGGGAAAACACAGTTTCTCTGAGCCACTAAATATGAAGACGAGAAACAGTTTAGATTAGATCTTAGGAGGAAGTTCTTTGCTGTGAGGGTGGTGAGCTGGATGGAGCTCTGAGCAACCTGGTCTAATAGAATGTGTCCCTGCTCACGGCAAGGGGGTGGAACGAGATGCTCTTTAAGGTCCCTCCCAACCCAAACCATCCCGTGACTCTAACTCTATGACACATGTCAGTGCCTCAGGCCGCGCACGCCCAGCCCCCACCGGACAAAATGGCGGCGGCGCCGTGAGGGGACACGGGACAGCCCGAGGGGGCCGCGCGCGCGTCACGTGGGCAGTCCCCCCTCCCCTCCCTCCCGGCGCGGTGCACGCTGGGAGCGCGGAGGCGGTGGCGCCTGAGGGAGCGCGGCCGCCATTTTGTACCTCCTCGCTCGGTCCGGGGCGGTCGCGCGGGCGCTGCGGTTCTGAGGGAGCGCTCGGCTCTCCTGCTCTGTAGCTCGGGGTCGCTACCACAGCCATGGGACGTAAGAAGAAGAAGCAGCTGAAGCCTTGGTGCTGGTATCCTTGTGTGTGAGACGCGGCGGGTGCGGGGAGCTGGGTGGGGGAGGGGAGCGGCCTGGCGCGGTCGCCGTTCGGCCTCGGCCTGCCCCGGGATAGGGCTCCCCCCTCTCCTCACCCCCGTTACGGTTTGTCTCGGTGCTCGGCGCTGTTCCATCCCAGTGCTGCTCGGGATGGGCCCCGGTCCGTGCCCTTTTTCTTCTCAGGGCCGCTCCTGCCTAGGCCGCGGCCTCACACTCGCTCCTTGAAGCCGGGCCGGGCCCGCGGGGTTGCCGGCGTCGTGGGGAAAAAAGAAAACGGTCTTTAGCCCCCGGTCTTTAGCGAGAAAATCCTACTCCTAATATACACAGCTATTAAAGGAGGGGAATGTGATTAAAAGAGAGTTTTTGGAAACTTCTTTTTTTTTTTGCCTTTTTTTTTTCTTTTTTTGTGGCCGGGAAGGCTTTCAAATTTGTAATTGCTGCATCACCGTCAGGTGGAGTTTCTCAGTGTCCTGAAATACCGGTGGGTTTTTCTTCGGTCCCTCCTTCAGAATCTGCTGTCTATTGGGGAGTGGTTACAAATTTACCTTTTTTCTCTCTCAGATGTTTCTGCCCAATCTAGGATTGTTTAATAAAGGAATTTACAAGCTCCTCTGAGATATTTTGCCATTTTATGTTGGAATGCTTCTGTAGATGTTAATGTATTTCACGTTTTGGCGGAAGCAAGAGACACTTTGTGTTAACAATGTTAACATTGTGTTAATAACGAATTGCAAACGTGTATTTGTCTTGCCGAGGAAGATGTGTGTGGAGTGTTTGCTGAAATCCCAGTGCTGACCTGCAGGAAGGAAATGCAGTTTTGCCTCTTCGGTTACATAGATATCCAGAAAGTTCCTTGTTTAAAATACTTTTGTTTAAAAGCAGAGAATTCTTTAATGACTGCAGCAAATTATGCAGTGTCAGAAGAATTGATAGCTGGCTAGGAGAGGAATTTTTAACTAAGACCTTTGTTCTCTTTTATGTTTATTAGTTACCGGTACTTGTTACTAAAGAGACACTTTGAGTCTTTATCATGGCTTCCGTTTTTCTGCTTTCCAGTCTGTTTCTCCTTTAATGCTTTTGCAACTTCATTTTAATCTACGCCCTTGAAGAGAAAGAACGAGTCCACTTAAAAAGAAGTAGGACTTGAAAACCATGTGACAAAGGACATGGAATCAAATTATTCTTATTGCACACAGTTTTATACCTGTCTGATGAGGGAAATACTGGATCACATGAGGGTGGTGATTTCAGACATACATGAAATATTTGTTACTCTTTGAATGCTCTGAGATGCTTCCTGTGTCTTTTGCTTCAGCAAAAATCACCCTGGTGCTAATTACCTTGATTTTGTCTAGGAGGTCACTTTCAGGGTTAAATGTTTCCTTAACAGTCTTCTATAGGTATTGTAATAGGGATTTTGACGATGAAAAAATCCTTATACAGCATCAGAAAGCAAAGCACTTTAAATGCCATATATGTCATAAGAAACTGTATACAGGACCTGGTTTAGCTATACATTGCATGCAGGTAAGGAGTCTTAGATTTACATGGGCTTTTTCTAAGAGTATCTAAAATTTGAATGAATAGTGACCTTAAAAAGGTGGTGTTTGGGGCTTCCAGGGTCTTAAGACTGATGCAAAAAAGGCAGCAATGGCCTGTTTCCAGCACAGGAGTCCTGCTGTGTCAGCAGTCAGATGGACACTGTGCAGCAGAGATCTCTGCCCTCAGTTCTGGAGGAGGAGTGAAGGAATTGTGTTGTCTTCTTGTTCTAAGACAAGTCTGTAAAGTGGTTTTAGAGCTAATAGTAGTTACCAGAGATTAGGAAGCACAATCAAGGATATGCTTGGCCAGAGAGATTATTCCCATTAAGAATGTTCCTTTTTTATCTTGAAACTGGCCGAAGAATACAGAGAATTGAACCTGAATTGTGGTCAGCAGCATTTGTTTGGTTTTCTTTTTCTTTAGGTACATAAGGAAACAATAGATGCTGTTCCAAATGCTATTCCCGGAAGAACAGACATTGAACTGGAAATCTATGGGATGGAGGGCATTCCAGAAAAAGATATGGAGGAACGGAGGAGGTTACTTGAACAAAAAACTCAGGGTAAGGTGCAATGTGGCTGGTCAAGTGTTATTTCCCTGCTCTGGTCCTTACTCAGCTGTGGACACAGTGAGGGTTGGCTTTAACACGTTCTCTAATGGCAGCTCCAGATTGGAATTTTACTGGGTTTGTTCCAACCATCCACCCCAGATAAAGTTAATTTCATAGAATGTGATTTGCATTCTGTCTGACCATCCACTGTCCTGTCTGCAGAGAGCCAGAAAAAGAAACAACAGGATGATTCTGATGAGTATGAAGATGACGAGTCTGCGGCTTCGACTTCATTTCAACCCCAGCAAGTTCAGCCACAGCAGGGGTACATTCCCCCAATGGCACAGCCGGGTTTGCCTCCTGTGCCAGGTGCTCCAGGGATGCCTCCAGGTGAGAGGGTGTGAAAAGCTGGATAGAAATTACACAAATTGCTGCTGGTGTGCTGAGTAATAATCTGCCCTTTTAACACTGGGGCTGGGAGGTCACGAAATAGTTCTGTGAGGTGCAGATAAGCAGTTTCTTCATTTTGTTCCCCCATTCTGTGTCCTTCCCCTGCATATCTTTCATGGAGTAGATTAAGATACCTAAAGCTGGTCTGTAGATTGAAGGCATGTGGTAGTAAGACAGCTTAGTGCTTCGAAGAGATGTCTGCCAGAGATGTTTGTCTGTGGGGTTTTGGAAACAGGGCAGAAAGGCTGTTGTGTATGTAGAGACTGCTCACACAGAACGGGCAGTTTATACACAGGCCACAAATATGGTGAGGAAAGAATTTTGCTCAGTGAGTGAAAAATGGTCTCTTCTCCTTGCAATAAGGTGTGTTCTTTGGAGACCACTAAGAAAATTTGGAGTCTTGCAGGACTGAGAGCAACAAATCCAAGTCAGATTTGCAGGTGTTTTATATTGTGTTATTTGTAAGCAACGTTATTTCAAAAGCAACCTTTTAGAGCTTCCTGTAAAGCAGTTATCCAGTCCACATTTATTAGATGCCATTTCCTAGCAACTGTATATTGTCAGAGTTGCTGAAAATGTATTTTTCTTTCAAGGTATTCCGCCATTAATGGCAGGTGTTCCACCTATGATGCCTGGAATGCCTCCAGTTATGCCTGGAATGCCACCTGGGTGAGTAGCAAGGAAGACTTGATATTACATATAAATACTGTGCATTTCAAACTGTCACAGAAGAAGTAAAGCTAATTAAAAAAATGTGTTTAGGAAATTGTAAACTCTGTGACCTAAATATTAAGACTAACTAGAGAACTGGATGGCTGTAAACCAACATGTAAAATATGGCCAAGCTGTGAGTTTATGTGTCAAGTATGTTGCCTTTCTTTTAACTTCATTAAATAGTAGTATATTAATTTAAAGTTTTGCTGTGTTGGTTTAGAGCCTTCTGTGAGCCACTTCCCTTGTGCACTGCACATATGTTGTGCATCTGCTTATCAGTCATCAACCTTACAGGAAAAAGATACTGGATAGTTTATATTTTTCTTGTATTTTGGGCAAAAGGTGTTGGTTTTTTATGCTTGTTTGGGGTTGACACCGTACCCTATCACAATGTGTTTTGAAAATTCACAGTTAGATTTTTGATTTTGTCATAAATTTTCACAGATTACATCAACAGAGAAAATACATGCAGTCATTTTGTGGTGGAAACATGTAAGCATCTCATTAATGTAATTCTAGGTACATTCATTATGCCATTTTATGTCATGTTTTTGATAAGCTTGAAATTGTCTTACTGAAAACCTCTGAATATTGCCTGAGAATTTGGGGGAAATGTCTAGTTAGGTTTTGTTGTTGTATAATATGTTTTTATGCTTTATCTAAATATTACAAAACTATGTATGACATGTGCTCTACATAATATTAACAAAATAGACCCTTAGGGGTCTCTTGAACCAGAGTAGAGCTCCATGTGCTCAGTCCTTTACACTGCAGACCATACTGCAGGAACTCAGTTTTTAAGTTTTAAAGTTCACTGAGGTGGAAGGTTGTTGTCTTTTGGGACATAAATATTGATTTAACAATCTTTGAATTTAAAAATCATGTCATAGTCGAATGTGGTGTGGATGCTCATCATGACTTTAGCTTTTCTGAGTGGAAACTAAACAGAATTTAATCAGGTTTTCTGGTGCTTAGTCCTGACTAAACTCCTTGTTAATGTCAGGTGACTGTTACATCACCCAGTAAAAACACAACTGGATTTGCCAAACCTTCCCTGCATTTCCATTGGGGAGCAGAGGTTGCACTATCTTTTTACTCATTTTAATCTAAAGTTTTACTTACTTAATGTGATTGTCCTGTGTCTAAAAATGAGGAAAGAGGAATTAGGACACAGAAAGCAACTTTGTTTTTAGTTTGACAATATTTCTAGCACTGTCTCTGCAGTTCCTTGGGAAGTTCCCTTTCTAGGGGCAGCAGGCAGGGAGCACCCAGCACTTTTTTTGTCCAATGTGTGTGTCAGGACTGACTTTGCTTCCTCTGACCATCACCCCAAAAAGGGGTAATGGTGCTGTGTTTGCAGCCATTCCTGCTCCTGCACTGGGTGTTCCCTTTAGCAGTGGCAGAGGAGTTGGGAATAGAACTCAGGCTTTGCAGAATGAGTGCTCACCTCCTCATGGTGATTTATTTTGATCCTGAAACACAAGTGGTGAAGGTGTCTTGACTCTGTCATACAAACCAACTGCTTCTTAGTGGGCTTTTGGGGTGTTGCTGCACATCTGTTTGTCTTGCTCACTAAAGGAATGAGTGTTCCCTTATTTTGTTTCCCTTATCTGGCTTCGAGCATCTGCAAAAAATTAAGCAAATTAAAGCTACACTTGGTTTGTTCCCTGTAAAGCAATCACACATATTCATCTAGGGAAAAGCCCTTTTTAATATGGAGAAAAATATATTATAATGAGAACTTGTCATATTAAAAAAAAATCCACTTTATCATTAGTATGTGGATTATTTACTGTAATTGAAACTCCAGCAGCTTTCTCACCCTCTGCTTTTATCAATATTTTGTGGATAGTTGCACACATGTGGGTTCTCTGCCATTCACTTGTGGTGTCAGAGGAGTAGCAGCAGATGTACAGTGATTGAAGGGTGATTTGAACTGGCTGTTTTCCTACATTCAGACTTCCCGAGTGTTCTTGGAACACTTTGCTGCAACTGGGAGCCTGAAATAGATTTCAAGAGGGACACCAGTTCTGGAAATTTCATGATAGTGGAAGTGAAATCTTAAGAAATTAAAGTTCAAATTTTCTTGGGGTTTTGGGTGTTGGGTTTCTTGGTTTTTTTTTCTTGTGGAGTCAGCTGGTTTTGAATTGCCTCTGTTGGGAGCTTCTTGGAATTATTTATCATGATTTTTTTGTCTAATACAGGTATGTGCCAATTGTCTTAACAGTCTATCACGAGTGTTCATACCAGTGTTCATTTTCTGTTTAATAGGATGATGCCAATGGGTGGAATGATGCCTCCTGGGCCAGGAATCCCACCTCTTATGCCTGGTATGCCACCAGGTAGGTCAGGGTTGTCGAACTCGTACTATGGTGAGAGTTATATTTATTTATTTTCACTAAGATATAGGATTTATATAAGTGCCACCACCTTGATGTGGTTTGATTGCCACAGAAGCCACTCTTGTGCAGAGGTGGTTGATTTATGGCTTTTTATTATAAATAATTATTTGAGTTTTACTCTGTTGTTAAAGTGAAAAATAGAATATAGTTTTCTTATTGCATATCCTCTGACTGTTGTGTTGCCTCATCCCTTTTTTTTAATGTCTGTGGCTGCAGCTGGAAAATAGTAATGATTGAAAATGTGGAATGTGAGGAATAATGCTGGTGATTTACCCAACTAATGAGCCTTCTGTTTGAAGAAACTTAACTGTAATTTTGGTCTCTTACCATAGCTGGAAGAGATGTCTCTTGAGCTTGTGCAGCTCTTGAGCAGCCTTGAGTTCTCAGGGTGTTCCACCTGAGCAGCAGCTGTGTGGTAATGAGCTGAGATTTGCTGGTTTGCTTGATGGAACCCCTGGGAGCTGTTAACTTCCCACCTGACCCTCTCCCAGAGCCCCATGCACGCCAAGTGCAGGTTTTGGGATGACAGACTACAAAAAGTCACTGTGCTGAAGCCCCCCAGCAGCACTGACAGTGTTTGTCACAGTCCTGGTGCTGTTCATAAGGGCTGAGGCTCTTGGATTTTGTACCAGTCTCATCCACACTCGTGGCAGGGTGGGCACAGTGTGTTGGAAACAGTTACTGCATTAATTGCATTGGTTTAATGAGAGCATAAACTTCATTATGGAAGCTTTAGTAAAAAAGTGACTTATTTCAGTACTGCTCTGAAGGGTTGGAGGTTACTGCCTGTGTTACTGCTTGGTGTTTGCTGACGTTACCCTGTGTCATGTTTTGTTTTACTGTTGCCTTAGAAATACATCTTCCTTGTGGGAGATGGTTCTGAGGAACGCTGTGAGCAGAATTCTCTAAAGGAATACTCTTTCCCCCTGGAGCCTGATCCGTTGGCAATGCTTTGTGGTTGCAGGTATGCCTCCCCCCGTGGGGCCACGGCCTGGCATGCCCCCAATGACACAAGCACAGCCTGTCACAGCTCCAGGCATCCTTAACCGGCCTCCAGCTCCTGCTGCAACAGCACCCACCCCGCAGCCTCCAGTCACTAAACCACTCTTCCCAAGTGCGGGGCAGGTAAGGGATCCCAGAGTCTGGAATAGCTGCTCTTATATCCATCAAACTGCCACAGTGTCAGCAGTGGCTGTTTATTCCTGAGGAGGCCCCAGAAATGACTGGTTTCTTGCTTGGGTTGATTTTGAAGTTTAATTCAGTGTAGTGCTTGAGTGAATTGTAAGAGATTCTTTGTCTTGCATCAGCTGTGAAACCAAACAATTCTGTAAGCATGTGGGCAAGAGAGGAGTAGGCAAAACACTTCTTTGTGTAATGCCTTTAGTTTGTTGTTTATAAAGGTGCTCTGGGTGGGTGAAGGGATGTGTTAGTCAGCCCCAGGAGTCTGATTGCACAGAACTCTACCTGAGATTTACAAATGACGAGTCTTGGCATGACTTGTTCTCAGCTGTTCTCATAATGGGCTCTCTGCCAATTGATAGACTGATTTATTCTGTCATCTTGTTAAACTGCTTAAACACTGCCTGAGTTAGGAGGTTCTTTACTTCAGAAAGTTTAGGAGTAAGTTAGGGTAGTAAAAAATTCATTTGAATGTGTTGGGGAGGGAAGTGGGGATTGATTGTGGCTTGTGACCTCTTCCCTTTGAATGCACTTGTGTGTAACTCCTGAAGTCTTTACTTGCTTTCAAGTATGTTGCAGAAACCTTCATAGTGTATTATTTGCATTTTGGACTTCTGCAGGGTATACTTGTTTACAAAAGCCCAGTCCTTTAATAAGAAAGGGTTTAGCATAAGAAATCCTTTCATGTGGATACTTTCCACCCATTTGTTTGGAGACTTTTCACTGTTTCCTTTCTTTTATGCTACAGATGGGGACACCTGTCACAAGCTCAAGTGCAGCTTCCTCCAATTCAGAAAGTCTGTCAGCGTCCTCTAATGCTCTGTTTCCTAGCACAGCACAAGTACGCAGGAAGTCACAGTTCAAAACAAATTGCTTTGCAACTTAACCCTTTGGACCGTTCTGTGAAATCTAAAATTGACTAAACATCTTCAGATCACTTCTGTTACCTTCCTGATTATGTTTAGCTGGTAAAACCGCAGAGTCCTTGATTGGGAGTTGTATCTTACTAGAAATAAGCTTGTCAAAGTGCCCGATTTTAGTGTGAAAGAATGTTACATCCTGGTTCTAAAGGGTTAAAAAAGCATGAAAGCAGTTAAATGCATTTTAGTGGGCAGTGGTTAGCTTGATGCATGGTTAAGGCTTTTTAGTTTATGTTGTTTAATATGGTACATCACAATGTGTAGGGAATTTTTTGTTTGCATTATGTGCAAAATGTTAGATTTTTTTTTTTTGTTTTGATTGGGAGGTTCAGATAATTGTAAATACACAGTGACTAGAAACAAAAGCATTCTCTCATAACTAAGGCTTGCTTTGGAGATTGCTATGTCTTCTGAGACAGCTTTGTAAAGCAGACATTTGCAGGGTTTTTTGTGGATTGCTGGAATCTGTAGTGAACCTCATATCTGCTTCTGCTGATTCTTCACTCTCAAATGAGATTAAAGTTCTGTAGATAGACATAGTACTTTGTGACAATGCTTCAGTGTTTTTATGCAGAGAACACTTCAAAGCCCTGACACAATAGAGCTTTCTTAAATATTGGATTAAAATATTACTTAACTACTAAATTTTAATGAAAACTAACAGTTTGAGCTGTACTCTGAACTAATGGTTGCTAAAGTATGTTAATTAGTGAGAGAACAATGAATTTATACTTAGAGCTCTTTACAAAACAGTGGTTCAGGAAAGATTCAGACATCTACCAAATTCAGTATTTCAGATAAAGGTTTTGATAGTGGGGTTTTGGGGTTTTTTTGTTTGTTCCTTTTGTCTAGTTGTGGCTTTTGACCTGCAAATTTTAGACTTTCCAATGTGTGTGTGTATATGTGTATATCCTGGGGTTTATTTTGGTTTGTTTTCAGTTGCTCTAGTATGCAATAAGGCTGAACTTTACTTTTGTCAAGCTTGTTATAATTATGTATCTCACTGGAAGGTTTCAGAGCTCTAAGAGACATCATTATTTTAGTTTGCTTATGCTTTGAGACACAAATATTGACCTGTCCCTGTGTTCCACAGGCTGCAGCAGCTGTGCCAGGGCCAGTTGGTACTGATTTCAAACCTTTGAATTCTACACCTGCAACGACAACAGAGCCCCCAAAACCTACATTCCCTGCTTACACACAGTCCACAGCCTCAACCACTAGCACCACCAACAGTACTGCAGCTAAACCAGCCACATCTATAACAAGTAAGCCTGCTACCCTCACCACAACCAGTGCAACCAGTAAGTTGATCCATCCAGATGAGGATATATCACTGGTAAGTTAAAATGTTTTCATTGTCTCACTGAAAAATGCAATTTGTGCTGGTATGGCTGATTAAATGGAATTTCTTCTGCGCTCTGTATTATGTGTATTTTAATAATGGTGAGAGTGCAAACTGTGCAGAATTAATGTAACTGAGATGACTGGCATATGGCAGTGCTCTTGCTGCAGTTCTGTGCCTTAGCTTTGTTGGTGATGGGAAATCACTCAACCCAAAATGTAATTTGGACTTTTCCTGCAATGTGACTTAAGCTTGAAGTTTTAATACATACAGGTAGTGTAGAACAAGAGACTGAACAGTTTGAAGTGGTTTTGGTGCTGTTACAGCAGTCAGAAAATGGAATTTATGGATAAAACAAATGAACCTTAATTTCAGGTCAGGTATCTTTAGATTTGTGTTCAGCTTTTTTGTCTGAGCTTAAGAGAAAAAGGCTTTGTTGAGCTGGGGAGGGGCAGAATTTGTGTTGTGTGCAAAACACTCCGTTGGCTGATATTAATGCAGTAACTGCAGGAAAGGGGAAAATCCAGGTGCTCCTGTGTAATGTTACTGGTAGTCTCTGAATTTGTAAGGTGGTTAAAAATAGTTTAGTACCTGTAATCTGCTTTGTTGAACCTCTCTTTCCTTTGCTTTTGGAGAGTTTTAACACACTGCTGTGGTTGTGTGTTCTGGTTTTAGGAAGAGCGAAGGGCTCAGTTGCCCAAGTACCAGCGCAATCTGCCTCGGCCAGGACAGGCTGCCCTGGGTAATCCACCAGTTGGACCAATTGGAGGTATGATGCCACCACAGCCAGGAATTCCTCCACAGCAACAAGGAATGAGACCTCCCATGCCACCTCATGGTAATCACAAGTTTCCCAGCTTTCTTTTCCTGAAAAGCTTTGTCTTTGCTATAAACCTTTTTAAAACTTTGAAGTGGCCTATTCTGGCAGGGAGGGGTGAAGCTTTTCACAAAAGGCAACTTCTCATTATTTAAAAAAAAAATAAAAAAAATTATTCTTTGCATCTTAAATGTTCTGTTTATAGGTCAGTATGGTGCTCATCACCAGGGCATGCCAGGATATCTTCCTGGGGCCATGCCTCCATACGGTCAGGGACCTCCGATGGTGCCCCCGTACCAAAGTGGACCTCCTCGACCTCCCATGGGAATGAGACCCCCCGTAATGTCGCAAGGTGGCCGCTACTGACGCTCCTACTCACGCTCTAATAGGTTTGGAGATTAAACCTTTTCTCATCTTGTGCTGTTAATATAGCAGAGCTTCCGTCAATTAAGGCTTCATTGTGACTTTAAAAATATAAGTACCTTCCCACATGCAAGGAGCTATTGGACATTCTTATTTTACATGGGAAAAATTATTTGGAATAATAACAGGAACTTTTCCTGATGTTGCAATTTATACTGTATGGCTTCTTTTTCATGTTTCATCTAGGTTTTTAGAAGTGAAGTATAGTAAATATGGTTCGTTAAATTGTGAAGGCGCTGGAATTACATGAACATACCACCTTAAAGGCAAGTTCTGTGATGTTACGTTGCTCTTTGTGAAATGATGCCTTCACAGCACTTCAAGTGCTGTTGGACTTCATGTCCCCAACATAGTTTGGTGAGGGCTGTAACTACTCCCAACTACTTGTACATTAAAGTCTGAACTTGTAACAATATTTAATGTATTTAGAGTTGCTCCTGTTTCAGGGTTTAAGTAAACTGACCCGCTGAGGTCATGTGACTTTTCTGTACTGTTATAAACTTCATTGTAATAAAAGAGGAGAAAAATTTATATGCCTTTTTATTCGTGACCAGCTGTGGACAACTGCCTGAAAGGTTTGTACAGATGCATGCTGTGGTAGCCATTGGTGTAATGAACACAGTTATAGGTGCTGTTTTGATAAAATCTGAATTCCTTGTTCTAAAAAGTCACTCCTCTAGCTGTACATCTGAGTAGACAAAGACCTGTACACTTATTAACAGACTCCTCAAAACTGAGGCTGCAGGAGGCACATCCTAACTCTGGTTGTAACTTCTCTTAATGCATATGTTTCTTTATTTGTGCTTTCTTGTCCTCAATAAATTTTAACTGATTTCTAGTCCTGGCACTTACTTGTAGGATGTGAAAGTGCTCTAAGACACATCCTCATGCCAGGTGTGTCCTGTTAGTTCACTCTTCAGCTGACCCCTCTCAATGTGCAAGTGCAGAGGAATTGCAGGAGTCTTTCAGGTTCATCTTTCTAGAAGCTCAGGTGCATGTCACATGGGTGAGTGACTCCCAGTTGATGTATTGAAGTTGACCTGCAAAAGAGAAATAGTAGCTTGACCTTATAAGTGTGTGAAAGAGGCAGAGCAGGCAAGAGGAATGTGTTATACGCTGTATTTTTAACTGTTCAGAGTTTCATGAACTATCTGTAACCGTCTGTTGTGTGATGAGATGTTGACTGAGCTGCTTTCTTGAGCCATTCAGTGAAAGTGTCTGGAGTAAGAGACCTTTTTATCAGAGAGGCTTTTCCCTATGAATTAGTCATTTATCTGTTTATAAGAACAGAGTCATAAATTCCTGTCAAGATTGTAGTTCTCTGAGTATCTGACATCACTGTGTTGCTGTGCTATATTCCTGCTGAAAGTGAGAATGCAGAGAGAGACTTTTTGGAGGGGAGGGCAGTGAGAGCTTCTCTGGCCTCTTTATCACAGGAGGAAACAAAATGAGTGGTGAATTTTTTCATTTGCAGGTCAACTTTAAATACATGTTCCAGCCTCAAGCCTTATCTGTGCAATTTAATTGATGGGGATAACTCTTCTTTTAGGGTAGGTTAGAAAGACTGTCAGCATTTTTGTGTCACTGTTCACAGATGTTTTTGTAGATGGAGTTTTTTAAATTATATTACTGAGCATTATGGCTCTGTTTCTTGCAAGTCTTGGGGTTTTTTAGCTGCACGTAAGTACTTCCTGTGGCTTTGTACTGTCTCTTAAAAGTGCAAAAATACAGTACAGCTAAAGCACTACATGGTCTCAGCTTCTGACCTGGGGTCACAGAATGTCTCCTAAAAGCACAAGAGCATCCAGTGCAGTCTAATTACAGCTGAATGGCCTTATTTTAACCATTAAGAATTGCCAGGCACTTTCTCTGAAGTGTTTAGCAGTTGTAAGACCATAACTCCAAGCCTCTGTTGAGAAGCAGTCCTCTCTGATCACTGGTATCTGCTGATCACCTGTCAGATGTGCAGTATTTGGCTTGCAAATGTGCTGAGTGGGCCTTGATGTCAGATCTTTTGTTAGCTCTTCATCTTGCTTTACACATAAGTCTAACAGATAAAACTGTTTTGCTGAGGCAATGCTTTTATACTCTGGTTTTCTTCTGTTTACCTAATAAGGATAATTACACAACAATGGAGAGATTATTACAATGTCTTATATTTATCCATTTTGTAATACTACACATAAAATTCGTACTTTATGAAGTGATCTTAACTACTGCTTGTAAAACTGTAGAACTTCTTGCTTTTTCTGGAGATCATATTGCTGCTGTAAGGATGCTTTGCCCTCCTGCCCCAGTCGAGTAAATCCCTTCTTCGTTCGGTGTCTTTCCATAACTTTCTGTATGTTGTTTTCAGACCCCTCCTCCTCCTGGGATCAAACCTTACTGCATGTACTGTTAACTCAGCATATTCTGCAAGTTGTATTAATTAAGAATTTCCCTCTTTTAAAACAGTGAATGTCTCATTGTTCTTGTAATGGTACCGTTTGGTAGCTAATACTGCATAGACTTAAAGCTTGGATGCATTTTGAGATTGAGCTTTCCTTAGTTGTAATGTTGTGATAATCCCTCAAGTAAGTACTGCCACATATTTTTCATTGGTACTCACGTAGAAGCAGGTGAACAATTTTTTCCATGATTTCCACGTGGATACTCCCTTTCCTGCTCCTGTCATTCCTGTGCTATAAGAGCTGTGATGTGGCTGCCTCTAGTTACTCTTGTCTCGTGTGACTCCTCTGTAAACAGGCAGGTATTTCGGTGCCTGTGTTGTCTGCTGGTCCCTGCCCTCATTTCTTTGGATACTGCTTCTTAATGTTCAGAGAGTTGGATTTATGGTGCATTTACCCAAAAAGAGTTCCAAAAACTACTTGGAATGTTAGTAGTGGCTTGTGTCAAAACTAAGGCTTGGTTTACAGTACCAAGTGTAACCAACAGCACTGTGCCAGCAAAATCCCTCTTGTAACACAGCCATGGGAACAGGCTTCTACTGGAGTTCATGTCTCCCTGGAAAGAGATGACAGAAGCCTTTATGATCACAGAAAAGCATCTCTTGTGCTGCTGCAGGACTCTGCTCCTGTAGTTACATAGGCAGAAGCTTTGGTTTTCAGTCATTGCCTAAATATGCCATGGCAGATCTTACAGTAAAGTTAACACTTGCAAGGGCATTTTGACCAGTCTTGGAACTGCAATGCAATGCAAATGTTGAATACAAAAAAATAACAAGAAAATCTCAGACAGAGGCGGGAAAATGTTTAGCAAAAAGCATGCCAGAATTTATGGCATTTAAAACTTGTTTGAAAGGTTCTAAATTATTTTATGCATGGTCTCATAATATTGTTATGAGCAGCTGAGCTTTAGGGCAAAAGGGATGAGACTGGCATGAAAGAACCTTGAAAAAGCCTGGGCTAGTTTTTCAGAAGACTTGATGTGACTCTTTCATGCTGCCTTTAGAATGGCTTCCTGCCTTTGGCAAACCAGTAAAATACTGACCATTTAGCTGGCTTATGTGCACTAAAAATTTCTTCTGAAACTTCTGGATTATTTTTTTTTTTTCCACAGATGAGATTTTAGGTGGTGATAATAAATTTGAGGCTGGGCTGAATATGTAATAACAGTGGATAACAATTCCTCACTCTGTGCATGCAAAGGAGAATATAAACAAGCTTCTAGAAACACATTCAGCTGCATCTGCCTTCTGTGGTTTCTGCCATTGGTTTATTGTGTGGAGCTCTTGAACAGCACTTACACAGAACTGTGTAACTTATTAGAACTTGGATAAAATTGAAGGGGATCTATAACCCACAGTTATTTTACAGGAATCAAAGAATTCTGCATACAAGATAAAAAAATAAAATACCAAGATTACATTAGTTGTAGGAACAGCAAGAAGGGCATTATGACCTTCAGTTAAATTGAGACTGATACACCAGTCCATGAGCTGGGGCTGCAATTTAAAATGGGCACTGATGGCACTTAATAGTGAATGTCTTAATAATTGTACTGGTCTAGTTTCTACATAAACACAAAGACAAGGGTGAACATTTCCAGTGGCTGATGGAATCTTTACTTTTCATGAACTAGTACAGTAAGTACTATCAGTTATGGGAAAAATGCCCCAAGAGAACTGACTGACGTTCCATTGATCAAGATACAAAGCAAAACAAACTGTCCAATTCAGAAATAGCTACCAAGTTCAAAAAATACTGTTTGGTCCTAACCAAAGAGGTGCTATTGCAGTAATTTTCTTTTGTTTGCTTGATCACTGGAATTTTGTTAACTTTTGAATGCATGTCTTTCACTTAATTGGGTCATGTTTTTTCTAAAATTTAAATTTTTCTTCTTCCTATAGCCCTGCCATAGGACAGGCTGAGGCAGAGTCTCAGTGTTGCCCTGTTCAGTCTGAGGCAAGTGGGATTTATTTTATTCATTCTGGGGGCTTTCACAGCTTTATGGCTGTTGGATATTTATGTCCCCAAACTTGCAGCAAGTTTGGTGAAGGCCCCTAAATTTATTTTAATTTAGGTTTTTTATTCTCTTTTGGTAGATGGGCTCTATATTAATATTTATCTTTTTATTATCGTTGTGGTTTTAAGAGTCTTAGGGGGAGGGAGGCTGTTTAAGATGTTTGGGTACCTTTTCTCTTGGAATGCATTTCCTTGGAGGCTGCTCAGGGGTCCTTCAGCCACACTGCCCCTCCCCACCTTTCCCTGCATTGCATTTGTGCTGTATTTGTTTTGGGGTTTGGTAGTGTTGACTTTGTGTAGTCTCTGAATTAGTGGCATGTAAATACCAAGTACTAATGTTTCCTCTTCTGGGGAGATGTATCTGTTGAAGTGCTTAAAATAGGTTTTACCCAGCAGGTGACATTTATAGGCACCAAATTGTGTAGCCCAAATTCCAGAACAGTTTCTTTGCAGAAGGTTGAGATGTTAATCCTGCTGCATACGTGAGCTGCACCTCAGCAAATATTAATGTAGAGCCCTGGGAGGAACCTGAGGTTTGATCCAAGTTGGTAACACAGAATAGAAGAGTGGAAAATGGAAGCTGCAGATTTTAATTCTGGAGTTTCTGGAAGAACCTTTTCCTCAACCTCTCCAATACACCAAACTCAACAGTATTTTGACTTGCAACAATAGTGAAAGTCACAGCAGTTTTTTTTAAACTTTGTGAAATTCTGTTGCATATTCAAAATTTGCTTAGTTATGTTTATTTGAAGTTCCTTCTCTCACACAGTGACTAGCAAAAAATTGTACCCTTTGTGAAGGAAAAGCTGCTCACTCTGGTGCAGATACATTGAAGCTTGAGGTTGCTTAAAGACAGCTTCAGCTTCAGAAGAGCAGGTTTTGTCCAAGGAGGTCTTGCAGCCTATTAGCAATTAAATAGAAAGTAAATGTAGGAGTCTGATTTTACAATTTTTTTTCAGGTTTCAAAATTATGGTAGTTTTTGATGAGCATACAGTCTGTCTCATTTCTTCAAGATTTTGCTAAATAATGACCCCCAGTGGGATTTTCAGTAATTTGAATTCAAGGACAGAGTTGTAATTCTTAAGTTAGAAGAGTGATTGCACATTCCTGTTGTGCCCTTCTTTGCTTGTACTCTGCCCTTTGCATTTTTCCTGGAGAAGGCCCCTCCAAGTCACCCAGTCTGGCTGGAAAATTGTCCTCTGACTGTTCCAAAATGGTTACTGAGCATGGCCTTGCTTTTCTAATTCTCATTGTGGTGCTCTCCCAATAACAGTGAAGATGAGAACAACTCTTCAACTAGGATTTGTTTCACTTTCTTAGTTTACAGGAGCATTTGGTTTATTCTTATTTCCCTACAATGTCCAAGGAAACTGTTTAACCCAAAATAATAGTGTGGGTTGTACTTCTTACTTTAAGTATCTGAATCTTGTGGAGACTCAAAGTGAAAAATAGGCAGATTTCAAATGCCTGATCCTGAACTTTTTTCCCAGTTTCCATTTAAGACTGATACAGCACTAGGTGGACTCTATCCAACTCCTCATGTTCAGCCTGTCATCAAGCCCACAAAGCTAAAATTCACATACATGTGCTGTCTTGTGTCCAGTGAAGTACCCACTTAGATCCACACTGGGGTTATGCCTTATAAATTGATACCCTGGTGAGAGCTGAAAGTTTCCCAGTTCAGGGAGATTGCTTTTATCTGGTTTTGTTGAAGTTATTTTTTTTCCCATGAACATGTCAAATCAGTTCTCCAAAATGCAGTTCCTGTTTTCACTGTGTCATTGTTTAACCTCTGTATACTAATCCTTCAGAGCAAATGAACCATTTCTTTGTGTTTTGGCATGTCTTATGAGCAAAATATGACATTTTTTCAGCACCACGTTGCTGTGGGATTTTTTTCCTTAAAGGTACTTTTAAGCAATTCCAGGAAGTTTAATTTCACACTACCTGCTTTTGAATGATGCATTTGACATTAAGACAGTTCTGTGGGGCTTTACTGTATGAATTAAAGGTTTTCTGACTGGATTTTCCTGCTCCACTGCAAACACTGCTTGTGGTTTCTGGTGGGTAGTTCACCCCCTTCACTTCCCCTGGGCATTCCTGTCCTTTCTGTAAGTCACTGAAGGACTGGATGGGACAGGTCCTGTTTCTTCCCTCTTTTGGAATTGGTAGTATTGGCAGATGGCATTGGAGTTATTCTGATGTTACCACAGACTGATGTTTGTCCTTAAATTGGCAGCAGTAATGACTTTCCTTTGCTTTGTGTTTTGTCCTTAAGTGACATGTGCAAGTGCTGCTGTCCTTGTAGTCCCCAGGGTGGCATAAAGTGCTTTTTGCTGGGAGTATCTCCTCAGCTGTTAGACCAGCTGACCTCTCATCTCTTTGAAATGACTCCTAAAAGTCTCATCTGGTGTAAATGGTTCATGTCTTGCTCTTTTTGTGACGTTTCCTTAGTGATATTTTCCTCCCTGCCTCCTCGTGTGGATCTAAGGGGGATAGTTCAAATAACTTGTAGTCTTTATTTTGAGGGATGAAGTGTGTTCCTCCTCCTTGCATTCCAGTATTGCAGCAGCTTGTGTATCACAAACTTGTACATCTTGCTGTTTGTGAATATTCTAATTATGGCAATATTTTAGTGACTTTTATAGATATTAACAGAGGTAGGTCTCAGAGTTCAGGGGGTTTTTAAGCTTAAGTAGAAGTACATGACTTTTACTCAAGGGGCAGGAGTTACTGATACTCTGCTAAACTGGGTACATTTGCACCCGTGTTAAACAAGAGAAGTGAATGGGAGATGTGGTAAATAAAGTACACACCACACATGAGGGACTCCAAAAAAATCTGTGCTTGCCATCAAAATACTCAGAGCAGTGAAACAGTGCCTGGGTTCTGTAGGAATGCAGTGCTGGTGACTCCCACATTGTCTGCAGTAGCTGGGCTGGGGAGGTTGTTCAGAGGAAGGGAGGTTTTGGGGCAGCTGTTGAAGGGATCAGGATGAATTCAGGTGATTCTACAGTGTAATGTGATAACATTCTTTTGGAGGTCCTGAGGAACACGTGGGGTTTCCTTGCACACTGTGAGCAGCAGCTCTGGGCAGCCTTGGTTGGCAGAGCCCACATTCCTGGGAAGGCTGGGCTGGAGGAAATGCAGTTTTACTTTAGTTTTGTGCCCCAAGGGAGCTGGGCACTGGAGCCTCAGCCATGTCCTGTCCTGACTGCAGGATCCAGGGGGTTATCCTTGGGATTTGTTCTGGGCATCCTGGGAGGCAGTTCTGACTGACCCTGGTGCAAATAGCTGGAGGGTTGGTATTTATATTTATATACCTGGTCCCTGCTGTGAGTAGTGAGGCACTGGCACCTTCTGAACAAGCTTTCAGGAACCTCTGACATTCTTAGGGGCTTGTTTGCACTCAGCAACACGGCTGTTTTAGTGGCAGGGAATTTAACTTCTCCAGAAATACAGTCTTGAACTTAAAGTTTTTTAAGAAAACAGAATTTTAATGCCAGTATCATCTTAACTGAAAGTGAGAAAGCACAAACTTTGAGAGCTTGAAAGCTTCCTTAAAAATTCTCTTGTTGGCAGCTAAACAAGGTCTAACTGCCTTAGAAGGGATACAAGCTTCTGATATCTCAATTTTTTTTCCTTGAATTTTGTCTAAATCTTAACCGTGTTCCCAGGTGCTATTCAGAAGGGGGTGGGGGTGCTGTGTAGAATTTCAGCTGCTGCTGCCCTTAGTAGCCAATATGAGTAGCTGTTTTTTGGTGACAGTAATTTTGAATTACCAGAAATTAGTGCAATAAAACCAGGGGAAGCTATTTCACTGTCTCCCAACTTCAAAGATTACATAAAACTTTGAGTTCAGGGTATCATGCAGAGCTTTTTTTCTTTCTCTTTTTTCATTGAGTTACTTGCACTGAATCTTTAGCTTCTTTCTCATAAATCTAAGTGGAAGAAAATACATTTTGCTCTTTCATTTGTAAAGTCCAGAATAAGAAAACACACTTTATGAGACTTAAATGAAGGAACCTGGCAATGTAAGTATTGTAATTTCCTTTATGTTTGTGGTAGGCAATAGGATGACCTTGTTAAATTTATGGGTTATGTATGAAAAAATACCAGAAGAGTAAGGGCAAATTGAAAAGAATTTTATAGTCGCCTTTACTTCATATGCTTTTCTTAAGCAACAAATTGCAATAATTGAAGTTTGGCAGCTTTTTCTTTTTTTTTTTTTTTTTAAATAAAAAACTAAATTATGGGTTAAACACCTTGGTTTAATACAATTTGTGTTTCTGTTAACTAGCAGCAGAATTTCAGCATTTGCTACTTACTGGTAGAGAAGAAAAATTCCACAGCACTGCCAGTACAGGTTAGTTTAATCTGTAAGTACCTGATGTTCCTATTTGAATTAATTTGTTCAAATGATACCACTTAAATACATGAGGGGAATTTTGGTCTCTGAACTGTGATTGTTATCTACTACTGATTTCAGTAGTGAGTGAACATCTAGATTTTTTTTTTTTTTGGAAGATCTGTAATGGATTTAACTGTGCTTGTGGGCAGGTAATAAATACCTGCAAGCACCTTAAAGGAAAATTTAATACAGAACCTTAACAAATACCCTTTGATGTTACTGGAAAGTTTTGAAATCACTTCAGTAACATGCCTTTATCGATGAGGCTGTTTTTTATCAGCAAACCAACAGGATCCTGTGTTTGTTGTGTTGGGGATTAAGCATTTCTGTTTGTAAACTCCATAGCAGTAATGTAATCCTTGGATTTTCTTTAGCTATTACTAATTACCATTTCCTACCAACAGATTTTTACTTTGCTAGGCCTGTGAGCCAGGAACTTGTTCTTCTCTGCCTTTTTTAATCATTATTTTTGTTAGTCCATTGCAGCACTTCAGAGGCTACCTACAAATGTGGTTTTGTCCAGCTGTTTTATCTTACTCCAGAGTTACTGCTGTGCCTCTATTTTACTTCTGCCCTATCCCATATTCTCAGATATTCTGGCATTTTATTTTTATTTTATAGAATATTTTACACCTTAAAAGAAAACAGGAGAGGTTCTTTGTGATGGGATAGAATATGCACCTTTCTCCAGAATGGCTGCATCCATCTATTTTTATTTAGACTTTATGTATCTCATTTCTACATATCAGCACAGAAGATAAAAACTTTTTCTGTGCTGTAGCACCAAGCATAGATCCACAGCTGGATGGGCTGTAGATCTGTGCTTTAATTCACTTTTTAAGGCCATGTTATCACACTCTGAGGGACTTTTGACATTGTAGGTGGATAATTCCATGGGCAGTAGGTACTGGGAGGGTCAGAGTAAAGTGGGAGCTGAACAGACACTTCAGTTGTGCAGCTCATCTGGAGGGGCTGGAGTGGGTTTATGAGTGTCTTACCACTTGCAGTGGTACTGTTTATTTTAGAATTCTGGAATCTTACACAGTGCTGCAGAATTCAGACCACCACACACACTTTCAAGGGGATTGTGTCTTCCCAGGCTCACGGGAGTTACACTTGCAGCCCATCTCTGGCATCTTCTTTACACCAGTTCTCAGTACTTCACACTAAACTGCTTTGTCTGCAAAACTAATGTTGCACAGATGCTTCTCCCTAGCAGGAAAAAAATAGGGCAGTCCTATATAGTGAAATTTCTGACTTAGCTTTACCTGTATTTGCTTCACCTTGGTGGCAGGTGTGTGTGAGCAGTAGGGATCCCTTGCCTTGAGGCCCTTCTCCTGGTGACAGGATGTATCCACCTTTCTTGTAACCTCTGGGGGTGACCCTAGTTCAGTGCTAAGTACTGAGCTGGGGTGAGGAACTGATGGCTCTTGGCTGCTCAGGTACCTCATGAAGTCCTGGTTTTCACAGTGCTTGGGTGCCTCCTGCACTGCTGGTACCCCAGCCTGGCAGTCCATGGGGATAACTAACGGGTACAGTGTGTTCCAGACTGTCTTAACCAAAACCAAGTGCATCTGTCCAGGGTAGGTCCTGCTAGGCCTCTGGTGGAACATCATCTCTGGGATGTCCAGTCTCAAGTGGTTCAGCACTCTTCTTCCCCAGTTCTGGTACAGTATATATGGAAGAGGTTGGCATTTCCCACTGTTTCCTTAGACTTCTTGCTGACTCCCAATTGCTCCTTCAGGGTTTCTGGACACTGTGCAGTGAACCCAAACTGAGCAAACTCCAAGCTGGTTTTAGTACCTTCATAGAGCACGTGAGTGGGTTGTCCCCTCTCAGTAGCAGTACAGCCACAGAAATGAATGTGTTGTGAAGGTTTTTTCTGTCACTTGATACTGCTTTCGTGTAAGTGGTGTGAAAGGGCTGGGATTACTGATCTTTTTCAAAAGACAGGTGGTGGCAAAATACTGATGTTGAATTTAATTGGACAAAGTGAGAGACTGGTAAGTATGTGCATCACTTTAATGCATGCAAATAGTAACATAACTAGCTTAATTTTATAGCATTCAGTTTACAAAGAAGATTCAAAGAAAACATGGAGCAAACATTTGCATCCACTGGGAACCTTCTATGAACTGTGTGCTTCAGCAATGGATCATTGCACATATCTGTAATGTGTAACCACTTTGTAACAGTGTCTGATTAAAAGAAGTGAACCACTGTTTCTGTGTGGTATTTTTTCTCTTGCAAACCTATGTAAGTTATTATTGCAAAAAATGTTATCATGTGAATAACCTGATACCAGCTTTTTAAATGTGTGTAAGCTGCAAAGACTCACTTATGTGAGTGTTATCTTAAAACAAAATGGAGATAAGCAAGAGAATCCTGACTTCTTAACTGTAACTTCCTTTTGCTGTTGATTTGCTGTCTTGCTGAGCAGACTTTACAAGGAATTTGACTACTGAAGTTGGAAGAGTTGGGAGAATGTGGAGGAAAAGTTTGCAACAGCATTTTTTTCATAACAGCTGGTGGAGCAGGTGTTCTGTGAGATGCTCTGTTCTAAACCCTTTCCTAGCAAAACCCTGGAGAGATGAGGTAGCTTGGAATGTGTGTGTCCTTGTACCTTGTGTAGTGGATTGCTGGGCTGGGCTGGTTTGGGCTCATTTAGCTACCACTCTACTCACAGGTTAATTTCTAAGAGAGTGTTAAAAGGAAGATCAATCCATATTTTAATGCTGCCTGGAACAATTGATGGCATTTTGAATGGGGGATGTGTGACGAGCACTGAGTTAGAGGAGCCTTCAGGGAAGATGCTGCTCTGCACAAACTCTTTTTGTCCTCTGACCCTTTTGGCTCCAGGGAAATCTGAGGGGGCATTTGGGAGATGGGAACTGCTTTGTCCTAAAAGCTGACTGGAGCAAGGGGGGTGGTGTGTGGCTGGTTAAAGCCCTCCCAGTGAGAATGTGACTGGGAAGGAGGGGTCTGTGCCTGGTGCCCTGGGAGCCTCTGCAGCTGGTGTGTGCAACGTGGGACCCCAAGAGTTCATCTGTAAGTTTAGACTTTACATCTTGTTTTTTCTGTGGGCTGTGGGGGGTGAGGTAAAGAGTTTGCATCCAAGCTTTCAGTTTCTTTGTGGTAGAAATGGGTATATTTGAAAAGACTTCTCTAAGTCTTTTCTTCCTCAAAGGAGAGACTCAAGCATGTGCAGTGGTGGGGCTACAGAGCAAAGCTTTGCTACCTGCAGAGTAGAGTTAAGTGTGTGCAGGCAGGAAACAAGGTACAAGACACAAGCTGGTGTTAATTTTTCATCATAGTAAGTTTCTTTTTGTAAACAAAACCTGTGCTTCTGCTACAGCATTTGAGCAGGTTGTGTATCTGTTAAGCAACTTTTCAGTAAGTTTGCATGTCCTGTTTCTGCTCTGGGTTGAAGCCATCCTTATGCCCCATTCTAGACTAGAAAAACTGCCTTGGCCTAACTAAATTTTCAAACATACCCCTGTCTCCTGCATCAGGGCTGGGGGGCAGAGGGGGCTTTCTCTGGCCCTCCAGCTCTCTTCCTCCTGCCAATTGTTTCTGCTCCCTGAGGCCAGAAGGTGAAGGCTTGGACTAGATAATAATCTTTGTTTTCATCCTGTTTCTTCTGAATTCACAGTGGCTTGCAATTCCTTTTACAGTTTTTGACTGAGCCCAGATCTTGTCTGAAGTTGGAAAAGCAAATCATACCTTGCTACTGTTAGAACTACATCTTCAGGTAGGGTAATAAAGCTCATGTAGATATGGTAATTCTTCATAAAGGATGTTTATTAGATAAAAAAAGTTATATGACAGATTTTCTGGCAATTGTAGTCACAATATCTTCTGTCAAACAATACCAAACTCCAGCCATATCAGACAGCTTTATTATTAGAAACTGAATGTAACATGATCATTGTAAACAGTGGTAAAAAACAAACTCCCTTGCATTTCTCAAAGAATGGGTATAAATTTAAGACTTGTACTCTATACATTTCTTGGATGATAATGCAAAAACATTTCACCAACTGCAGGAATTGTTTAGACTATGGACTCATAACAGTGCTTACAAATAATCTTTTATGTCATCCACGTCTTCACTGCTCGTGTGTCTGCACCCCACCCCAGGTACAGATATATCTAATAAGGTAATATTTACCCAGAGAAGCAGTGGAGTTAGATAAAATTTGAGGCCTGTTTTCTATCAAATCTGATGTTTGCAAAGTCTGCTTTCAAACTACTTCTCTGCTGGGTGTTGGCTTTGCAGTTGATGGGTGGCTCACTTCATCCACGGCAGTGTCAGTGAGTGGAGTGTGTTACAGCCAGAGCCAGTGTGAGTTCACTTCTCTGCTGCTGATTCAGGAAGAAAAATGTTACTGGACAAATTCTGTTACTGATCAAGACCACCCAGAAATTAACTTAAAATCCTAATATGTGAGCTGAGAAGAAAGGGATCCCACTAGACCTGTTTTATTCCAGAGCTCAGTTCTCCAGATATTGGGGGGAAGAGAAATAGTGAGTCTTTGGCAGCAATTCTTGCTGTCTTAAGGTTGAAATCTTGCTTTCTGTGACTCCAGAACTGTCAAAGGCTTGTCTCAAGGTACACTTTCCTAGTAGGTTTCAAGGAGTTAATTGTGGTTTTCTTGCTCCCTGGTGCTCAGCCAGGGCAGACACTTGCAGTGCTGTATGTTCTCAGAGCACAGTGCCTGTTGTTACAGTGCTACACCCCTTAGGTTCTGCTGCAGGCTGCATCGTTTTCAACCTCAATATTGAAAGCAACAAGCCCATTAAATGAAAAGCCTAAATAAAAGGTCACATTTTCATTTCCAAGGGGCACTGATTCACGATGGAGTGCCAGGATGGGGAGCTTCTTTTTGTGGCCATATATAAACAAATTCCTGTCCTCTGTCCAGCCAGAAACTCTTTTGAGACTGTCACGAATCCTGGGAATATTCCACACAGTTCCATGTAGCCACTTCATTCTTCTCTCATCTAAGGGCCCTGTAATTAATTTATCAATTTTAGCTTTCTGCACAATCTTACTTAGGCCATAACCCTTTCCCAGAAAAAAATGGGTGTAGATTCTTCTCTTCCTGGTAGGGACATCTTTCATCTTGATGTCATATAAACGTTTCAGGGTTTGAAGGGCTGAAGTTAGAATTTCATCTTTGTCTGGATTATGATCTTTGTCCAATGCCTCATCTGGCCAGTACAGCAAGGTGAGCAAAAAATAGGCACTTGCTGGAAATGGTCTTTTTGCTTTGAAGAATCTTGTACTGAGCTCACGAAGAGTTTGCAGTGGAAGAAGTTTGGCTGATCCTGGTGCTAAGCAGGCTAAGGTGATGTGGCACAAAATATAATTGATCAGGTCATTGTCCTCCAGCCTGTCCCTCAGTGGGTTGTCTGGATACAAACTGAGGATCCTTTCTAGCTTTTCAGCTGACCTGTTCTCTTTCTTATCTGTTAAGAACGACAGGATGTTGGTGACATTTCCTCCACCATTCTTGTAAATGCTCATGCGTCTGATCAGCTCGGTTTCAGGGCCGTTGTTGCTCTCCTCAATAAGTGATGCTGAAATGAAGTATTTAGCATATACCTCAGACTGTCTTTTCAGCCATTTTCTAGGATTATAAATTTGTTCTTCCTTTTCATCACTTTCATCATCCTTGTCTTGGTTTTTATCTGTCTGGAAATAACTTAGTTCTTCTGAGATCCATTCCAGGGCATTGTACAGGTTCTGGCGCAAGCCCTTCAGGCGGGAGTGAAGCCTCCCCCATGTTCTTTTTATCTCTTCAGGAATGTAATCTGTGGTGAGGTACTTCACAAGCTCAGTGTATTCCCCCTCTGGACTTCTGCGGAATACAGGGACTGTGGACAGGAACCGGAGGAGTCGACAACCTACTTCTACTTCTCCGTGAAAGCCAGCGTTGTTCATAATTTCACGTTCTGCTTTCGCAGCCTGTTGTGCAGCCTTGAAGCATTTCATAGCTTTAAGAGCAATCTGTATCTTCTCAATGACCATTTCAGGAGTGTCCTCCTCTGTCATTTTATCCACAGTGAAATTAAACCATTTCCTGTAGACTTGACCTTCTGTATCTAAAATAAAAGAATCATCTGGCAAATGACCTTTTGCAACCTCTGCCCAATGTTTTGCATCTTCGAATTTTTCATTGATGTAATTTAGCCTGGCAAGCTGCTGGGCAAAAAAAGGATCTTTTCCAAGGAGTTCATATGCAGCTTTTAAAACAGCAATAGCTTTTTCACAGTCTTCAGCTTCGCAGACGTGTTCAATGAATGGGGAGAAGAGCGTGTCGGTGTTGTCACCTCTGCTTCTTTTATCTCGTCGAATAAAGAGATGTTTGATAAACTTTATGAATTCTTCTCGTCCAAATCTGTTTTCAAACAGTGTCTTTTCCTGAATAAGATTCATTGCAAGTTGACTTTGAGATTCATTTCCTGAAAGCTGATGGAGAATTTCTTTGGCAACCAGGCAGTGTATTATCCGAACAGATGAAATATAACTGGTACTTTCCCTTAGCTCGATAAAAATCATTCTCGCTTGTTCACTCAAGCGATGTTTGAAATCATATACTCTTGATGTTCTCTCTGTATATGCCCCCAGTCCCAGAAAGGCCTCACAGTGTGACAGGGAAACATAGGAATTGGGTACGTAACAATTGAGCAAAGCCACGTAACGCATCAGGCAGGTGTCCCGGGAGTGAAGGTCTATGCCGTGCAGTGTGTGTGCTACCAAGTCTGACACGTACGTGGCGTTGAACTCCTCGCACATCAGGACAAATGTAAGTATGAATTCTGGCTTGACATCTTTCTGCTTCAGTTTCTCAAGTTTGGTGTTGAACAGACTTTTCTCTGACTCTGTCAGCTTGTGAGTGACAGCAACTGTGTCCAGTGGAGAAGCCTTGCAGAGACTTTCAGGGTCATTGCATCGTCTGCAGCATACGAGGATGAAGTAAGGTCTGGGGGTGTTCATTTTCCTGGTTGCTGCAGCCTCCAATAACACAGTCTGTAGTTCTTCAAAGTACTCATCATCGTAATCTTCGATCAGGAGGAGCACAGGAAAACAGTGAGTGATTTCTCTTTCTTCATAATCTCTAAGTGCAAGCACGTGGTTACAAACAGTTGAAGGTGGATATAAGGTCTTGATAACAGCACATCTGAAGTGCTTTCTGCTTTTCCACAGAACTTGCCGTGCTATTGTGCTTCCACCGCTTCCAGGGTGGTGAAATATCTTTAGTTTGGCCACAGGGTAGTTCAGGACAGTGCCTCGTAAAATACCATCCAGGAGTTTGCTGGCGTCCTTGCACGCTTCCCGTTCAATGATGTCCCCACAGAGCCTTTTATCAGCAAGCCACAAGTTTTCCCAGATGATTTTTCTCCCTCGGTAAAAATTTTGTTCTATTTCTTGTATTTGTTTTTCAGTCCAATGGTTTGGTTTGATATCATCACATTGGTCAGCACAAAGGATTTCAAGGGAGTAGAGTTTCTCTTCTTCCCTCGAGGGGAGTATACACACCCCTCCAGTGGACACAGGCAGGTGTCTGGGCTGAGCTGTGGAAGGCAGCATTGCCTGGACAGTGGCATCGATGTGACTGAGTTTCATGCCCACAACACTGCGTTGTTCCAGTGTCTCAATGCTGCAGGATGCCTGAGCCAGATTAGCCCACCTTCCATAATTTTCTCTGGACTCTGCAATGCAAATGATGTACTCCATGCCATTCATCTCTGTATAGAATTCCTGAAAAGTGTCCACAAGTGGTTTTTGCACTGGTGATAGCAATAGGAAAAGCACAATGAAAGATCTCTGTGGCAGGATTTCCTCACAGATACAAGTAATTACTTTCTTAAGGTATTTTTTTTTCGTTCTAATCCATGTGTTTTCATCACAAGGTTTTTCATCCCCGAGGAAGTCACTGCGCCCATTGCAGAATATCCAGCTGGTCTGATCAAACAGCTTCTGAGAGGGAGGGGTATCGGTCTTAATTTCATTGAAAAAATCCTGTAAAAAGTAAGAACTTGCTTCATGGTGCTCTTTGTACTTGCTGCACAGCCCTGACACATTGGAATGTTCATCAAAGTCAAAGACACAGAAAATGTTCAGGTGCATTAGAAAGTTGATATAGTTCAGATTATCCTGCTCACATCTGTTTGTGACAAGGATGTACCGCAGGGAATCATCCATATAGCTTTTGCCATCATTTAACAGGATTGATAACTTTCTTCCTAAATCTTGAGGTATTTCTGTGTGCACTTGTGTGCTGGAGAGCTCAGCTTTTTCTCTCTGAGCATCCCTGTCTGGCACAGCCTGAATAAAGGCAGTGAGTTTGTTGCGCTGCACAGGTTCAGACTTGGCTCCTACTCTCTGGTAGAGAGCTGGCTCTTTGGTCAGGATCACCTTGTGGCTGCTTTCGTTGTATTTGGGCAAACACACTTCAAAACAGCTCTTCTTTACTAAGGTGTATGTTGGTTCAATGTCAACCTCCACCACAAACCTTTGTTCCTGAGGGTCTTTTGAAATCACTTCAACAAAAACAGGTGGGTGAATGCATTTCCTTGCAGTTTCCTGTACATTATCACAAAAGCATTTTTCTATATATAAATCCAGTGCATCAACATAGTCTTCTCGCTTTTTGACCTTTATGCCAACGATCTGTCCGTGTTTCCAACCCTTGTCCTCAACACTGTCCATGACACCAAAATGGATGGTGCCGTTTGTTCGAATGTTCATGCAGGCTGAAGCAAATCTGATCACTTCAGAGGCAAACTTTGACTGCAGTTGCTCTTTGTTCAGTTCTGCAGCAGTGGCCAAAGATTTGTATTCATGGCAAGGAATGATTAAATCAGTGACTCCTGATTCTGGAGCAAGAACTGTGTCTTTCACGTACTTGAAGTCAGCATCCTGACTTCTAAAGGGTCGGCAGTTTCTGAGCTCCAGGACCTCTTCAGGGCTCTGAAGCTGGGCCTTGTCACGCCTCCTTTGCCTCTTGCCAGAGGCAGGAGCTGTGTTGGCAGTGCTGGTTGTTCCTGTGGCCCCAGAGCTGCCTCCCCCAGCCGTGCTCTGAGCAGGGGCAGTGCTGGGACTCACCGGGGCTCTTTGTGCCTCCCCTCTGTCCGGCACTTTGCTGCTGGAATTCTTGGCTTGCTGGGCATTGCCCTGGAGCTGCCTAAGTTCGTTTCTCTTGCGGATTAAGATCTGGATTTGGCCTCCCTTCATACCCATGTCTTTGAGGAAAGACTCATCCAGTTCCATTAGTGCTGGACCTGTCACTTCCTCTGTGTATAGTTTTTCTACGTACTCTTTCTTGATTCCAGTAGATTCCAGCCAGCATTTGACATGGTTCTCATCCCAGTCATTCACAGGTAATGTTTGGTAATCTAGAAGTTGAAATTATGTATTAGAAATATAAACTAAAAACATGTCAACATGCTTGACAAGGCAGAACTGGCCACAGTGAACGCTAGATTGTTTTCTTTCTACCAGTCAGTGAGAGAGCACATCTCAACTTCTCAAGATTGTCAGCTCTGATGACAAAGTATCCTTAACCTTAATCAGAAGCAGTCCTAGGCAATGGTACAAGACTAATAAATCAGCAAAGCAGGAAACTATGAAAGAGGTTTGGAAGTGATCCTGATGGGGAGTCATGGAAATAACCCAAATGTTTTGCAGGGAAGGAATGATGTGATAAGGTTATGGGAACTGACAGGGCTGGATTGTCTAACTGGAGAGGTTTGGGCAGATCATTTACCCACTTGAGGCTGATTATTTTCTGTTAAAGGAAGGTAGCATCAGTACAAACCCTAAGATGATGTTAAGAGTACTGATTAGTTCCCCAGTAGAGATGAATCCTTAAAATGCAGATATTAAAAAACAAATAGCTACATATAAAGTACAAATTTTTCTGAAAGCAATACTTACCCATTGTCTTGGGTGAGGGAAATCCTGCTGTTAATGCACAAAACCCTAGAGAGGGAAAAAATAACTGTCTTCAGATTTACAGTTAACATTCCTGTGTTAGTTCAAGCTGACTTTGGTGTTCTCCCAGTCTTCTCCCCTCCTTTTTGGTCCCAGGTAATTTCTGTATCTCTGGAAGCCTGGCCTTGCCAGCTGTGCTGCCTCTGTACAGCTGTTCTGTGGGAAGGCAGCTGTTGGTGCTCCTGACACACGTGGGTGTGAAAGAAATGGGAACTGCTGGAGAAACTTGTGCTGCCAGCTGAGCCCTTCTGACAGCTCCTTCTGTTGGATACTGGAAAAGAGGAGGCCCTGCATCCCCCAGGTTCCATCCCTTGCTTTCTAGCACTTTTTCTCACTCTCCCTTTCCCTACCTTTTGTTCCCTCATACTCCCTTTTTTTCCTGGTACACTCTCCCCCTCTCCCTCTTTTTTCCACATGTTCTGGTGCTCACCAAAACTTCCATGAAGCAGTTCAGCTCAGTGCCTGACCCAGCAGAAGGGTTTCTGGTCAGTGCGGTGTCCTCACCCGAGACTTCACCTCCATTGCCAGGGGTTCAGAGAGGGACAGCAGGGACAGCTGGCTCTGTACTGCTGGAGGAAAGGGATAATTACACCTGCTCAGCATCCCAGCACGGGACATTCACACGTCAGCCACAGCCACCCATGAGCACAGGTCACAGCGAAGGGGGGTGGTGGTGGTGGTGGTGGTGTTCCTTCTCTCACAGTGTGAAACCTCAGCTCTGCTGGCTCAGCGGGTGCAGGAGCTGTGCCAGCTCCCTGCCTGCAGCTCATGGTACTATGGCAGTGCCACTCACAGCTCTGGAGGGGCAGCAGGAGCAGCACAAAGGCAGTGCACGGTGCTGTGCAAGCAACACTCGTCTGCAGAGGTGTAACTGAGGGAACCTGGGACCGCGGCCTGGCACAAGGTGAGTGCGGCAGAAGGTGCTGGTTTGGGTCTGGTAGAATAAGGGATGCTAGAAAAGAGTCACACTTAGCCGGTCAGCCCTGCAGAGGCTCTGGTGTGGGCAGGTGGCTCTGAGGGGAGGCTGTTACTGGACTGCCTTGGTGTGCTGTGGGTGTGAGGGGATCCCTCTCAGTCAGCGTGAACAGGCTGGTTGGGAAAATGGTGGGAGACATTTCCATTGATACTTGGTGCAGCCTTCCCCGAGAAAGAGGGCAAAAAGTGTCCCTGAAATACGGGTCTTTTAGTTCCTCTGGTCACCTCCCGGGGCGGGGCTTGTGGTGAATCCTCCCCCCCTTCCCCTGCCTGTCTCTGTGCCACAGCGACACTGTGACAGCGACGTCAGGGATCGAAAACGAAACTTGTCGGGGAATCGAAACTGGAGTGGAGGGGGGGCAGGGCTGCGGGAGCGCGGCCGGAGGGGCCCGCGGGCCCCTGACCTTCCCCCCCGGGTTTAAGAGCAGCCGGGGGCGGCGGTGGGTTCGTGGTCCCTGCAGCCCATGTGTGCTCCAGCGGGGCTTGGGCGGGCAGGGAGGGGATGTAGCTGCAGGTGTCGAGGGGCAGAGGGCTCTGTGCCCACCTCCCTGAGCTGCTCCGACAGTCCCACTTGGTGCTGCCGAGCAGCTCTTACCCCTGCGGGATGTCGGGGGCAAAGCTGAGCTGGGGGCACTGGAGGGACAGCCTTGCTTTTCCTAAAGCCTGCTCCCTGGAAGGTAACCTGCCAGGCTGGGAATAACCCCATCCCCCGCAGGACCCCTGGGCACAGGGAGGGCTGGAGGCTTACCTGGCAGAGCCCGCGGGTAAGGGGACGTCTCCACAGGAGGGAGGGAAGGTGCTCCAAGCTGCAGTGTCAGGCTCGGGGGGCCTGTCTCAGCTGCACGGGCAGCAATTCCAGCACTGTGTGTGTTCTGCAGGGCTCCTGTGGGTTTGATGGCCAGGAATAAAAAAAGGAACTACTTTTGAGAGAGTCCTGATGAGCCCCTAAGTCTCCACCCCGTTCTGAGCAGGGTGGTGCTACTGGGTGGTACTACCTTTGCAAAGCAGGCTGAGCCCCACTGCCATGTACGTGTCAGGGTGTGTGTGGCAGACAACCTTGTCTTGCCAGCTTTCTTCTTCCTGGAAAGCACGTGATCACCAGCTCAGTTGCACCAAAAAAATTAATTTATGGCTATCTCTGGACTGCACAGCAGTGCAAATTCTTGCAGCCATTTTATCTTACCTGCTCACCTGCCTCAGCCTCCAGGAGGTGATGGTGCCTGGGGCCTGTCACAGTAACACAGTGAGGTGCCCAGGAGGTCCAGGAGGCTCAGTGCTCACCACCCCAGCAGCTCGGTGTGGTTCCTGCACTGGAGCCCCATCTGGGATTAGCAGGTAGGCAGTGGTTGGAGCAGGCTCACAAACCAGGCATGTGCCTGTTTTCCAGGGAGGCAGGACAGGCTGCTCAGGCAGGAGCCTCTTCCCTCCTCGCTGCCCCCAGCCCAGTTCTGGCAGCAGACCCCAGACACACGTTGTCACTAAGAGCTGTGGGGTTTTAATCTGAGTACAAGTCTTTATTTAGTAGATTTATAAAAGAACTTTACATGAGAAGTACAAAAATATGAAATAGGCTTTGAATCTTCTTAGGTAAAATTACCATTATTTTTTTTCAAGCTTTAGAAACATGTAACCTGCACAGTTTGGCATCTTAGGTAAATTGCTCTCATACATTATAAAACTAGGAAAAAAGCTTCCTTTAAAGTAGCTGTATGCACCCAATCATACACATTACTGGCAATAATTTATTAGTTTAAGACACAATGGCACAGTCATACAAATTCCCACTCTGTAATTTCTCCTTTAATTAGTTCATTGAAAGATGCAGTATCACTTTCCTCTTCCAGTTGCTATGAGGTGATTAAATACAAACACAAACCCAATTAAGATTGATTTGGCATGTTTCATACCTGTGCCACTTGGATTTGATACCACTTTGTAGTAAAAATTAAATAAATATAAATACCTTAAATAAATACATAGTAAAAGAACACCCCAGTTACATTACAGAACTCAGCATTTCTTCATCCTTTGCACACATGATGCTTTGTCACAACTTCAGGGCCAGTGAAAAGAAATACTGCATCCTTACACACCCAGGCTGCCAGGCATGGAATCACCAGCCCGCACAAAGAGCTCCATGGCACCCCTTGAGCACTGCCCTGGTTTCTCTGCTCCTGACAGCTCTCCTTGTTTCCTCTTTAGCTCCTTTTCCCCAGGCCTCTCTCACCTCTGGCTCCGTTTCGGCAGCGTTTTCCTGCTGCTGAGGGACAGCTGATGAACCACGAGCAGCTCTGGGCTGCCAGGGCTGTGCTTCCTGCACGGGCTTGTGCAGGGCTGTTCTGACCCTGTGATTTCAGTCGAGGGCTGGTCAAGCTCTTCTGTGAATACTGGTTGATATTAAACAGTGAGGCTTGTTTTCCATGAAGGTAAACCTTGAACTGATTTTTCAAGTCAGTATTTTTTAGAAGTTGTATCTGCTCAAGTACGAGGGACTAATTTTCTGGGGCAGTACAGATTAACCAGCAGTGGTTCTTTCCTACTGGTTTTGGCTGATGAGCGATGATTCCCTTTGCAATCACTGGTGTGCCCAGTACCTCACTGGGCAGCAGTGCAAGGGCAGGTTTGGATGATTTGCTACAACCAAAGGGCTCCTTTTGCAGTTCCCAGTCCTCGGTAATTATGATTTCAATCGCTGTATTTTGATTTTTTTTTTTCTGTTTGTAGTAAAACACATAAGTTACAAAATCACATACAGTACAGGGATGTTGGGTGATGGTTTTATCCAGCTTTTGCTCTCCACTTCCACAGTCTGGAACACTGCCCTGGAGTACAACTCCATCCCCAGGGTTCACCACTTTACCTCTCGCTCCTTGGGCTCCCACCACCTCCTGATCCAGCGCAGGCAGAGGGACAAGGCACTTTTTGGAAGCTTGGTTTCTTCAAAGAGAGAGAATTCAGCTCTTTGATCCCACTTTTCCCTGCTAAAGGTAGGCCTGTGCTTGGAATGTTGGTCCCAGAGAAGAAAGCTCCATCCCTGTCCTCAAACAGTGTCTCCTGCAAGGCTGAGCTCTGCAGAGTCCTCGGGGTAGTAATGCTGGAACAGTCTCTCCTGGCAGCAGATGTGCATGGCGTGGTAGGTGTGCAGGAGCAGGCGAGGGAACCGAGCTGTGAAGTAACACACAAAGTCCTCTGGGATGGAGCCCAGGGTCTCCTGCACTTCGGGAGGCAGTTCCCTGTAATGGTGCTTCTGGGGAGGAAAAGAGAAGATGGGAAAGCTCAGTTTATGTACAAGGAGCCTCTTGTAAGTAGAGCTGTTGGTCTTCCTGGACAAGGAAACCTCCTATTCTGTCGTGAAGGAGCTCAGGGCCTAAACCAAGGGATGGCACAGGCTGGCACCAAGCAGGGGGGTGTGGTGCTGAGAGGGTGTGGTGCTGAGGGAAAGGAGTCCTTTACCTTATTTCTCATGGCCCTCAGAAGGTCCCGTACTGAGCCTCCCTTATAGGATCTGAATTTTCGAAGATCTGCAAGAGAAATGACACGATTTCTTCTTGTGCTGTGATGCAGTTTTAGCTGCTGAGGTGTGTCCCCACACCACAGATCCTTGTAGGGCTGTTTCAGTACATGAACATGGACTTGAGCTTGAAGAAATACTTTACTGACAAGTAAAGGTCATGTGCCAAAACAGAGACAGTGTTATCCTTACTTTCCCATCCCAGCAAACTGGGAACAGCATCTAACTCCCTTCCCCTCGTTAAAACACTGCCCATTACCTGTCTGAAGAGGAACAGTGATGTGCTCTCTCCAGTCCATTTTCACCACTTCTCTTCCACCTCTTTCTAATTGCTTGACTATTGGACCATCTAAAGATTCTTTCTCTATCCGGTCACTGACATCCTGGAGGAGACAGTCAGGTTATTTCTAGTTTTATTTCCGAGTTTTTCACAACAATTTCAAATTGCTGCTTCTGGCCAATTACAGCCCATCCTGGTAATGAAGTTAGAATTACACTTCACTCCTTGACAGTGCTTGGGAATAGGATGCAGAAGTTTCTGAGATGATTTGTTTCACCATCTGCCAAAGCCTTTTTAGCATAGAGAAGATAAAGCCTCAGCTCCTCAGCCAGTTCCCACCCCAGATCAGGACTTAGTGCATATTCACTGCTGTTCCTGAAACCCCCCTGGCCACATCCTCAGTCCTGTACTGCTGGAGACCTTCCTCACACCAAGGGAAGTTGATAACAGCGTGTTCTGGCCTCCTAGACAAGGTGGTACTGGGTAAAAGGTTGGACTCGATCTCAAAGGTCTTTTCCAACCTCCTTGACTCTGTGACTAAGCCAATTCCTTAGGAGCTACTCCCAGGTATTACAGCTTGGCTCTTCACTCCTCACAGAAAGGTTGTGGCTTCTGAATTCAAGACCTGAACAAAGTCTACAGGAGTCCTGAGAACTCAAGGAGAGAAAAGGTCACCACAAACCTGAAAGAACTGGAGCTGTTTCTCTAAACTCCAGAAGAAGGGGTGTTTGAGCACACAGCTGGCAGACGGCCGTTTCTGAGGGTCCATGTTTATCATCTGCTCGATTAAATCACGAGCAACTATGTCTTCTGCAAGGAAAAGGGTGCAGGGAAATTTATGGTACTTCTTTGGTTTTATTTCATTTTTCCTACACTCTTAGGCTGTGGGGAAATGTAGCATTTTGTACTTTTACAGTATTTTGAACTTCACAAATTCATCATGGTCTCCACTTCCTCCTGCCTGGCTAGCTCAGGTGTGCCCTCAGAGACATGCTGGGCAACAGCAGGAAGGCAGAAGGGTTGACTCAGAGACTAAGAATATCACAGTGCAGCTCCTTCCTACCCTTTAACTACAGGAAATAACTTCACAGAATTCCAAATGTGTATCCCAGAGATGCTGTGGGGTACTGTAAATGAGAACTTTAGGCCCTTTACTTCAGGAGTACCTGAGGAGTAAACTGTGACTGCTGCCAGGCTGGGAATCCTGTGAGCCATATTTCTTTCATTTCTGTTGGCACTTAACACCGTGGGACACTCCCTGATCTCTGTGGTGTGTCCTTACCATGTCTCCCTGCATCCAGGGCCTCCAGGCTGTATGCTCCCAGCAGGATGTTGGCTTGTCTCTGCAGGGACTTGCCAAAGGGGTGGCCACCTTCTGACACCACGTAATAGAAGACACAGCCAGCTGAGAAGATGTCCACGGTGTAGGTCTGCAAAGAAACAACCTTTAAGAGCAAGGACATATTTTTCCCCCTGAAGACTCTGATCATCACAGGGTGGTTATTTTGCATCTCGGAGCAGAAGGAAATTTCCAGAATGGCACACTGAGCTGCAAGGGAGCCTGAAGGCCCAAGCACCAAGTCCTGTGCATTGCAGGGTCTGGGTTGCTCCTGGGGAAGGGTGAGGACTTACAGGGTTCTCTTTGCAGTCCTCACTCAGCATCTCTGGAGCGATCCAGCCCTCGGTGCCCGGCACGCCCGAGCGGCGGCTGAAGCTGTGCCGACCCACCGCCAGCTTCTTGCACAGCCCGAAGTCTGAAATCATGGCCTTGACCTTCCCGTGGGCATTGGGCATCGAGATCAGGATGTTGTGGGGCTTCAGGTCCCTGTGGACTGTTACAAACACCCATTTACCACTCAGGCACTCCCAATATTTACATCTCTTTCAGTGAACCTTTCCCAGGGCTGAACTTTGGCTTGTTAAACTGAAGTGCTGACTTCAAAGGATTGTCATCACTTTTTTATTCCATCACCACTAGTCCTCATATTCTATATGACTTCTATCCAAAAAATGGAGCACCCTGCACTAACAGTAAGGACTAGCTTTAGTACTCCAGGGCAGCAGAATCTTACAGGGACAATACTGGCGTCAAATCACAGAATCACAGAATGGTTTAGGTTTCAAGGGACCTTTAAAGAGCATCTCATTCCAACCCCCCTGCCATGGGCAGGGCCACCTGCCACTAGGCCAGGTGGGCAGACCAGAACCAGAGCAGTTTCTCTTCTTT